GTTGATTGATTCAGAAACACACCAGACTTTTTCAACAACCTTGGACAGTGGACAGAAAAATTCCCGAGAAAAAAAAAAATTCCCCACTAGAATGATAGGTGTTGCGTGAGAGGGAGGAAAAGGGTCGCACGATTTTTGACAGCTAACAAAATTGAACTCGTTGAAAACTCTATATGTCGTGGTACCAATTCATCAAGGTGAGAATTGGTAGTTGTTGTGATGTTTCTCTTTGGTGAACTCCCGTATATATAAGATTGTTGAAAGTTTAAATTTTTCTATCTGTCTGTCTATCTATGAGTCTGTCTGTCTATCTGTCTGTCTATCTATGAGTCTGTCTGTCTGTCTGTCTGTCTGTCTGTTACGTATCTTTAAACACCCAGCATGCAATGAAGGACACTCATACTCGTGTCTAAAAGGACCTAAAAACAAATCAATCGTCTTTTGTTGCAGATTTCAGTAATAATATAGAGAAGAAAAGTACAGGTGTTTGTGAATGATTATACTGACGGCGTTTTCTTTTGGGGGAGGGGGGGTGACGTATCGTATCTCCTCACTTGATCAGGACACCAGCCAATGAGAAAGGTGTTTGACGGTGTTAATCAGCATAAAAAGAAGGGTGGGGCATTACATTCCTCCTTCTCCTCCTTCTTCTTCTCCTTCTTCTTCTCCTCCTCCTCCTTCAGTACATCGATCACTATCTCTTCTGTGTCTTGTTTATCATCGTTTTCTATTCCCTGTGCCTAAGACCATGCAACACCAGGGGGCTGCTCATCATCCTGCTTATATTGTTGATGTTTGGTGACCACAAGTTTACAACACTTCTCTCACTTTCTCTCTGTCTGTCGCACTTTAAACCTTATTGATGGCCAGGATAATGTTGTCTGTTTAGTAAAATATTAATCTGCCTCTGTGACCCTCCACTTGAATCCAAAATAATGGTCATGTTTACTAGTCAAACTGTAATCCCTTCTAATGTCTACCTCTACGACCTTCAACTCAGTATCAATAAGGGTCATTTTTACGTGGTAGTGATGTCTGGTGTTACTATCCAATGCCAAGAATTCTTCACCTCATTTCTACCCGTCTGTAGGTGTGTCTTAGCTAGAGTAATTGTTTCACTTGTATACTGTCAGCTCCTGGGCGCTCTACAATGATAACACGATATCTACGTTTGTGTGTGTGTGCTGGAACGTGTCTCTCATGTACTGTCAGATCTGCCGTCGTTATGTTTAATGGTGCTGACATCGCCGCTTAGGAGGGAAGAATCAAAGTATTTTATGAATTTACAATCTCTTTGTACACTAACTCCAAAGTACACAAGAGGACATGTCATAAGACGTATAAAAATCCCAGGAGTATATTTGACTCGCTAGATGAAAGGTGATTCTCTCAACCATACACGAACGAGTAAAAAAAAAATAACACAACATAATCTCAGTATTAATCCCAGAAATAACCTTAACTCATCGGAAGAAATGTGATTCACTCAAACCTAAGTGCAATTTGATGTTTCCACAGAATGCAGCCAAGAAGTCAACAGTTTTACACCCGTGCTTCAGTCTCCTTCCCACAACTTGGTTCTGTATTCTTGGTAATTATTTTTTGTTCCCGTGAAGGAGAAGGGGGAGAAGGAAGAGGAGGAGGAGGAGGAGGGGGGGAAGACGAGAAGGTAGGAGGAAGGGGAGGAGGCGACGTCTTTGTTGGCAGTAGCTTAGTGCCCGAAACAAAATTTTTTTTTCTCCCTCCCACCACCACCACCACCACCACTACCACTACCAGTCATTAACGTAATTGAATAAGCGCGCCCGCTCCTCCATTGAACCGTCTGTAAAGATGACAAATGAAGGTGAGGGTTTCTAATGGGCTTTATTCCCCATTTCTCAGGTGAAGCGGTGGGTGTGTGTGTGTGTGTGTGTGTGTGTGTGTGTGTATGTTTTTGTATGAATGTGTGTGTGTGCATGTATATCTATACATGTATACATATGAAGAGAGAGAGAGAGAGAGAGAGAGAGAGAGAGAGAGAGAGAGAGAGAAATGCCACTAGGTTACACGTCGTCTCAGAGTGTCTCACGAGGCTGAGTCAAACACCGTCTTGGGATAAGTCAATACCAAAAGTCGAAACCATAAGTGTTCGCTAACCTCCTGTGGACCCAAGATATTCGAAAACATTAGAATATAATAACATAAAAAAAAGTTGACTTCACCTCCAATCCCTACCAAGAACGATTGTAGAATGCATCCTTCCTTCTGTAGACAATGGGAGAGAGATTATTATCCTAATCCCTCTCACGTTGCATATTGGGATTAGCAAATTATGGTACCCTTGAGAATCCAACAATAGACAACACCCACAGGACCGAAACTCTGACGATATATGAGAAGTTAATGATGAGTTATGAAGGAAATGTTGAGGAGGAGGTGAAGTTAGTTTAGTTTCTGTTAGGGTGATGCGTGTCGGTCTTGTTTATAAAGACTTCCTTCTCTGGGTAATAATGTGTTTAATTTTATTGTTTCTGGGGGTTTTTTTTCGTTATTTATTATTTTCATTATTTAGTTAGATGATATATTTAACCTCTCCTCCTACCCGTTTCCTTCCTCTTCACCCTTTCCATCCTCCTCCTCCCCTTTCCTTCTCTCTTTCCCTCCCCCTCTCCTTTCCTTCCCTCTTTCCCTCCCCCCTCCCCTTTTCTTCCCTCTTTCCCTCCCTTTCCCAATATTTCCTTTGCTTCATTGCGATTATTTCTCTTTAGATATGTATACTTTCGTTATTTTTTTCTCGCTTTTTACGTGTTCGTCTCATTTACGGTATTCCTGCCTCTGACACCAACTGCTTTAGGTCACATAATCACATCAACACCTAACGCTTAATTTCATCTCCATACTAGTTAACACAGACACCAACCTCCCTTCAACGTCTTAGGCTGGCCCTGTACCTATTTCTAGCAGGTATAACACAGCTCTGGCCGGTTGGTGAGGACAGCAGCCAGGCCCCTCAACGCTAACAGAGTGGAGCCGTTCATCAGGCGGTGTTTGCTTCATTAAACTGGTCGACGTATTTGAGTCAGCGGATCGTCAGGCTCATGTGTCTAACTTAAGGCGTTCATTAGGTGTTTGCATCGAGTCTCGTCTGAACGTAATCGAAAGGATGATGTTGATATACGGGAAAATGATTCTCTGACCAGTAATCCTCCTCAGAACCGTTAATAGTCTACAAGATCCTACAAGATTCTACAAGATTTTTATACCCTTCGAGGCAGTTACTTGTTCAGTTCGATGTTGTCAGCCGTCTTAGTCAGGGGAATCCACTCAATTAAGACTAATGTTTTCCCGTTAAGGTATGCAGTGTTATATCCTTTCCTTCATAGATTTCATATATTAAATTACCCTACAGACTTCAGGACCACTTGTTACTGTAGATAATTAGAGGTCGTCACCGTAAACTTTTATTTTGGATTTTTTGTAGTGAAATCCATGTTTAGATTGGAGAGAAAAAATATGATAAAAGTCGTTTTTCATGAACATGGTAAAGCATTATAGCTGACTAAAATCATTTCGGTAAAATCACGTTATCTATATTCCAGGATGGGCAATACCTGATGCGAGAGTGAGATTGGGTATATATATAACTTCACCGGAGTGGAGTGACACAGAGCTTAAACCACCACATGTTGCGTGTTGGTAATAAAATTGGAAGTTAAAGGGGCGGTGGTGACATGCTTGTTTTTTTTTTTTTTTTACATTGTGTGAAGTGACCTGCAAGAAAATGGCGACTGGATGTGAAAGTCCAGTATAATATTTGTTTCAAGAGGAAGAATTATTATAGGTTGTAAGACAGATCAAGAAGGATGGTAATGAAGACGTAAGATTATAGATGTAGAGTAATCCAAAGTGTACTAGAGAGACTTAGTGAATGAGGAGAATAATCGCAGAGTGAAATTACTTAGAGAATATCACACTGGATATCTCTCCAACTCCTCGATATGAATGTGAGAATCTCGTGTTCCTCGACAACGTGGTAAAATAATAACATTGTTTACATACAGAATCTATGTAATATCTCAATAACTGCCAGGAGAGATGAAGCCAAATAAGAAGATTTTAAAAGATACGTAGAAGGGGAGAGGAAGTGGGAGGAGAGAATTCTTGAGGGTGACGAGGATGAAATCTATTCAGGTGAGTTTGGTTATACAGAACGAACGAGGGATTAGAGGGAGTTGTGCTAAAAGATTTGACAGTGTGAGTGAAGGTAAAAGAGCGAGGAGAGCCGAGGGGGGAGAAGACAGGAAAGAATGGATCGGGAGGGCTTGACTGGGGTATTTCTGGAGGCTGCAGCAGAGGAACGACTGTGGCCCACCTCTACTGGTAACATTTTGTACCTGGAAGTCGAAGAGTGAATGGAGATAGATCCCTCCTTCCCCCCTTCCCTTCCTCCCCATGATGACTCGACCCAGTAAATAAATAGTGAACGGATCGGAAATCTTTAATAGATAGAGGATTTAGTTACTGTTTCTATATTATTTGTAAACTATGAACACGTAAGATATTTGGTGATGGGTGACGAACTTGGATAGAAGTTATTAAGTAGTAATGAAATGAAAGATAACAAAATAGAAGAATCAGACATTACTCGGTTGGTATTGAATTCCAGTCTGCTTGGTGCCCCAGCTAGTGCTTGGTATGAGGTAGTTTGGCGCTGAGCTACGCGCGCCTCACTCAGGATATGACGGCAAAATGGTCCCTGCTTTTCCCGGTGGAGCGACAGTGTAGAGCAGCAGTGGAGAGGATCGGTGTGTCACTGACAATAAACACACTACCCAGGATGTGCGTTGTAAAGGTCACACAATTTCCATTAACTCTTGTATTGGCACTCTGTCGCCATCTACACTTTAGATGAGCTGTTACTTTAACCCTCTCCATTTTTATTAATTGTTTATTCTTCTCTCTCTCTCTCTCTCTCTATCTCTCTCATTCTTCATCACTGACACTCTCCACTCCTGCAGGTCACGTGGATGAAGCGTGACGAGGACCAGCTACTGACGGCGGGGGGTGAGGTATACTCGTCCGAGAAGAGGTACTCCGTCGCCCACGTCAGACACCAGAAGGTAAGTCGTCCCTCTAACCTTATGTATCTTAATTTCTCTATCCAGAAACTCACAAATCTGACCCACTGACTCCAGAAACTAAAAAAATCTGACCCATTGACTCCAGAAACTCACAACTCTGACCCATTGACTCCAGAAACTTAAAAATCACAACTCTGACCCATTGACTCCAGAAACTTAAAAATCCGACCCACTGAGAAACTCACAAATCTGACCCAAAATCTGTTGACCTGATGCGTGTGACCTTTACCTCATAACCTCACATTGGTTTCTTGACCTTGAACCTCTGGCACAGGTTTCCTTCCTTCTAAGGTCGTAGGTCACTCATTCCCGACCTGTAACTCCGTGATCTTATACCTGAACACCATGACCCCAAACTATAAACACCATGACCCCAAACTATAAACACCATGACCCTAAACTATAAACACCCTGACCCCAAACTATAAACACCATGACCCCAAACTATAAACACCGTGACCCCAAACTATAAACACCCTGACCCCAAACTATAAACATCATGACCCCAATCTATAAACACCCAGACCCCAAACTATAAACACCATGACCCCAAACTATGAACATTATGACCACCACCATCCCAGAACTCCTACCGTTCCAGGACCAGATGTGTTTCAGTTAGTTTAGTAGATGCAATACCAAACAGCATGACAGAAGTCCTTTATCTATACAGTATACTGTATATAGGCATTGTACTACAACTTACATTGTATTAAATAGGTATCCATCGTTACTACAAAAGCTAGGTGTAGTTGTATCTGTTTTGTTAGTAGGTGTGGCTATTGGGGGAGGCTGGAGGCCACGTAAAAAAAAAAGTGGTAGTAGTAGCATAGTGGAGGAGGAAGTAGTAGTAGTAGTAGTAAGAAAAAAGACAGTTTAAGTATCATTAAAAGTAGTTGCGATGATGAAAAAAGAAAGAGACAGAGAGAAGAAGAAGAAGAAGAAGAAGAAGAAGAACGACACCTCCCCATAGATAAAACTCAACCGATCTAAGATTTTTTTTTCAATCAACAATAAAAATAAAAATATGGAAAAAAAAAGAGAAATTATTTTATACATTTCAGAGTTGGGCGGTGAAGCTGTTGGAATGTAGAGGACAAATACTGGTGGCGTAGGAATGTTGGTTTATTCAGGATTGGATAAATATTGGGGGTGTACTAAAATGTTGGTTCATCTAAAACAGTTCAAATATTGTGGCGCTGATTCTATTGGGTAAACCAGTATGGGATAACTAGTAGTGCTGATTCTATTGAGTAAACCAGTATGGGATAACTAGTAGTGCTGATTCTATTGAGTAAACCAGTATGGGATAACTAGTAGTGCTGATTCTATTGAGTAAACCAGAACGAGATAACTAGTAGTGCTGATTCTGTTAGGTAAACCAGTATGGGATAACTAGTAGTGCTGATTCTATTGAGTAAACCAGAACGAGATAACTAGTAGTGCTGATTCTATTGAGTAAACCAGAACGGGATAACTAGTAGTGCTGATTTTATTGGGTAAACCAGTATGGGATAACTAGTGGTGCTGATTTTATTTTCACTGTGTCGTTGAATTTACACCAGATACGCAGAGAGAGAGAGAGGACGAGTGATATAGAGCGGCTGGATTAGTTATGGAAGCTGAAGGGAATAAACTGGTACCGAAATATGATGTTGGTTTAAGGCAGGTGAAATATATACTCTTGGATTATATGGTTTAATCCACAATAAAGACAATATATTTCAATTTATATATTATGAAGTGAATTTATTTAGAAAACATTTATTATCACCAATATAATTGTTGATATATTCACAGATGAAATAACCTCTCTCTCTCTCTCTCTCTCTCTCTCTCTCTCTCTCTCTCTCTCTCTCTCTCTCTCTCAAAAGAAAAAAAAAAGATTACACCCAAGAATGGTTTAAAAATTACACCAGATCTTTAAAAGGTAATGAAGGTTGAGTGTTGATAGAATCTTTATCAGTTAGGGATAATCTGGTGGGTAGAGTAAAGAAAGAAAAATAATTGTAAGAAATTGTCAGAATCTGGTGGTTATATTTTAGTGGTCTGAGTTGATATAAGTGTGGGAAACGAACTGTAGTGTGTTATGTGTTATATTAACTTTTACTTAACAAAACAAATAATATAATATTAGTCAACTGTCTTTGTTTAAGTTATCCTTGAAAGAACAAGTACAATGTTGTGTATGCGTTTTGTGTTTTCCTGCAGCATATGACGAAAGTTTATATGTTTTATTTGTTATGCTGCATAAAACAAATTGTATGTGCTGTATTTGTTATATTATTCGAGACAAAACAAATACTGTATACTAATTTGTTTTGCGTTATTCGAGACAGAACAAATACTACATACAATATTCTTTACGTTATTCGAGACCAAACAAATGTTGCGTTACCAGTTTGTTCGTTTATTCGAGGTGGCGAAAATATTAGTTTTCCCAGAGAGAAATTATACCTTGGTGGCGGGAAAAATGTTTAGTTCAGGAGGGAAGAGAAATGTATATATCTTTTGTGGAATTTTTTTTTTGGTGCGGACAATTTCACCTCTTATGTACAACTCTCTCTCTCTCTCTCTCTCTCTCTCTCTCTCTCTCTCTCTCTCTCTCTCTCTCTCTCTCTCTCTCTCTCATAAAGCTAACACAATAAAAGCTAAGATAATGATAACAGGAAAGACAATAACTTAAGCTAAAGTGCCATAAAACATGAAAAGGATAACACGAAAGAGAGCAAGCTGAAGATAACGAGAAAGATCACACAACAGGAGTTAATAGATCAAGATAACGAAGGAAATGAGAAGCCAGAAGATAAGAGGATGATAACGCGTGAGAAAATGAGCAAAAGGTAATGTTATTGAAGCCGGGTTGAGAATGGAGGTGTAGGAAGAGGAGGAGGAGGGGGAAGAAGGAGAATGAGGAGGAGAATAAGGAAGAAGAAAGTGGGGAGTAGAGGAAGGAAAAGGAGGAGGAATGAGAAAATGAGAAGTCGAAAGAGGAGAAGGAAGAAAGTGAGAAGTAGAGGCAGGAGTAAGAGGAAGAGGTAGAGGAGGAAGAAAGAGAAAATGGTGAGTAGAAGAAGGTGGATGATGAGAAGGAGAAAGAAAGTGAAAAGGAGGTGGAAGAAGAAACGAAAACGAGGGACTACAGAAAGAAAAAAAACAAAATAGAAACCATTTACATAAAAGAGAAACAGAGAGAGAGAGAGAGGAAGAAAAAAAATAAAATGAAGGGGAGAAAAATACAAGGAAGAAAATGAAAATACGAAAAAGAGAAAAAAAAAGAAAGGGAGAGAGAGAAAGGAGTGAAGAATCTCTCATCTCTTTTATAATAGTGAGGATATTGTCTGCCTCAAACTACAAAAGACATTGAGTCGAGATACCTTAACAAAAGTATTATGGTGAAATTGACAAAAGAATGAGAGAAAGAATTTATGATTAACCTCACACCAAAAAAAAAAATATTAGGAAAAAAATAAATATAAATAAAAAGATTGTAAAAGATTGGTGAGAAAATCCTTGACTGGACTCTATTGTGTTGGAGATGATTGGAGGGTTGTGTTGGAGAAGGTGGTGGGCTGTGTTGGAGATGATTGGAGGGTTGTGTTGGAGAAGGTGGTGGGCTGTGTTGGAGATGATTGGAGGGTTGTGTTGGAGAAGGTGGTGGGTTGTGTGTTGGAGAAGATGGTGGGCTGTGTGATGGGAGAGTGGTGGTGGGCTGTGTTGGGGGAGGTGGTGGTGGGCTGTGTTGGTGGAGGTGGTGGACTGTGTTGGAGAAGGTGGTGGGTTGTGTGTTGGAGAAGATGGTGGGTTGTGTGTTGGAAAGATGGTGGGTTGTGTGTTGGAGAAGGTGGTGGGCTGTGTTGGGGGAGGTGGTGGTGGGCTGTGTTGGGGGAGGTGGTGGGTTGTGTCGGGGGAGGTGGTGGTGGGCTGTGTTGGGGGAGGTGGTGGGTTGTGTCGGGGGAGGTGGTGGTGGGCTGTGTTGGGGGAGGTAGTATATCACTTGTGGAGTATCAGTGTCGTCTTATTACTAATCGGTGTCACTTATGAGTAACCAGTGTCACGTGTAAGTAACCAGTGTCAATTTTGGGTAACTAGTGTCAATTTTGAGTAACTAGTGTCAATTTTGAGTAACCAGTGTCAATTTTGAGTAACCAATGTCAATTTTGAGTAACTAGTGTCAATTTTGAGTAACCAGTGTCAATTTTGAGTAACCAGTGTCATGTGTAAGTAACCAGTGTCAATTTTGAGTAACTCGTGTCAATTTTGAGTAACCAGTGTCAATTTTGAGTAACTAGTGTCAATTTTGAGTAACCAGTGTCAATTTTGAGTAACCAGTGTCCATTTTGAGTAACCAGTGTCAATTTTGAGTAACTTGTCCTCAGCTCTGGGAGTTATCTCTGAGGGACGTCCGGATGAGTGACGCGGGCCTGTATGAGTGTCAGCTGACCACTCATCCCCCAGCCTCGCTTTTCTTCACTCTAAAAGTTGTCGGTGAGTAACGGGTGGAGTGACAGGGAAGGAGGGAGGGAAGGACAGGAGGAGGGAAAGAGAGGAGGGAAGGAGGGAGGGAGGAGGCGGGATGGAGGGATCAGGTAGGTGCATAAAGAGAGAGAGAGAAGGAAGACATACGTAAAGAGAACAAAAGAAAGCATGAGAAGAGAAAGGGAGAGGGAGAGAGAAACATAAAACAGAGTGAGAAAGTGAGAGAGAGGAAGAGAATATCCTACACAGACCTATAGAGATACACAAACAAACAGAAAGATGTCTTACCACAAAAGCCTCAAAACATCACACACACACACACACACACACACACACACACACACACACACACACACACACACACACACACACACACACACACACACACCTTCCCTTTTGGTGGTAGGAAATATACTGCAGCCAGACTCTATAGCCATCACAAAACTCAACTCTGTGATGAATAGTTCGTGGAAGTTTTAACACATCCATACAACTGTGAAATAGACGTCAATAGTGGTGGTTGTGTTGACTTCATGACGCCCTGTGTATGAACTCAGACAGGTTGGGTTATATAGCCTTGAGTTCCAGTGCCAAAAAAACTATATAATATTCCTTTTCATTCAGAGGTTTGTTTTGCTGTGTAATTTCTCTGAAGGTCACATCATGTTATTGTTTTTAAAAAGATTGTTGTTGAAATATTCCCCCCCTCCCCTCCCCCCTCCTCCTCCTCCCCCATTATGTAGAGTCAGTGTGTGTGATGACAAAGAGAAGGATATTGTTAAAAATGTTCTTTACTGCAGGATACTATTGTGTGCATTTCACTACAGGTATACAGAGGTAATGTTTATGACACATAGGACGCCATTATAAGAAAAATAATAATAAATTACCTTTCCTCCATTCCAACACTGTGGAGTGGTCATTGTCTACCTGATACTAAATACACTGAACTGAACTACCTTGTTAAATGGTTGTGTAGTGAAGGTTGATGTATGTAATTGCCCTGTTCCTCTCGTATTGCAGAGTAGTTAACCATGCCTTAAATTAGATTAACCTGTAAATTCAGATAAGGTTAATACCAAGCAACACTCGGAAATAAATTACAACTGAAATAACTTTAAAGGTTGGACATATACTAAGATAGGAAGACAATTTTGTTTTATGGGAAGACTATTTTCACGGTAATATTCTCCTCATAAGATTCACAAATAATAGTAACTCTTCTAACAGTAATAGTTCCTGGTAAGACTATTCTCAAGGTAACGTTTTCCTCAAAAGTATAAAAAAAATCCTTCGTTGTGGTAATATCTGACACTAAAACTCTTCCTTCCCGTCCATATTATCCCAAATTCACGAGAACATTCACTATTTCATAAACTCTACTGGGGGCTATTGACGCCATGTTGTGTTAAGACTTCTGTAATATATTGATCGTTAATTACAACGCCTATTACCAAACGTTCTATTGTGATCTCTAAAAATAAAAAGGCCTATGAATAACGAGACAAAGAACGAAAGAGATCAATTTTTTTTTTGTCCCTATTGTTGTTGTATCGGCGTAAAACAAAGCACTGTTAATGGAGATCTTTAGACCATGGTGCTATAATAAATAGTGACTGTATTACTCCCTTTCATATTGAGTGCTGGACTGTTTTGGCCACAACGTAGGTTAGAACACTCTCTCTCTCTCTCTCTCTCTCTCTCTCTCTCTCTCTCTCTCTCTCTCTCTCTCATAACTTACGCACCACATCATCAACTAACCTCGGAACATAAGCGACCTAAACGCAATCCATATGCCAGCCAAGCCCTCCTCTGTGTAACCCTCACCTCGCTAATACACTGGACTTAGTCACTTGCTGGCGAATGGATATCCCTTTGTCTCTTGTCTTGTATTCGTAGTAATGAGCTGACTCTGTGTACTAGTTTATGGAGAATATTACGCCCAGTTCATGCATTTAGTAAAGGCTGTTACGGTAGCGAGCGTCTGTAGCAATTGGCGAGGGTTGGTTGGTTGGTTAGTGAAACGAATGGTTGGTGCTGTTTGTGTGAATGTTAGTGGCTGTTCTGGAGCTCATTGGCTACTGTTATCGTTGGTTGTGGCTTGTTATTGGCTATTTTAGGCTATGTGGCTGTTGTAGTCTCTGTGGTTGTTATTATTAGCAAAGTGCCGTATGTGTGGCTGTTGGTGGCTTCTGTGTGTGTGTGTGTTTGACTGTGGTTGGTATGAGAGCTGTTCAGTATGAGTGCCGATTGGCTGTGTTGCTTATAGTGCTGTTGCTGTGCTGGTAGTTTAGCTCATATAATTGCTGCATTTGTTGTTGTTGCTGTTGTTATTGTTATGGTTGTCGTTGTCATTGTTATTGTTGTCGTTTTTGTTGTTCTTGTTGTTATTATTTTTGTTATTATTGTTGTTTGGTGTAATTTTTCTGGGTGTTGTATCATTTATTTGTTTATTTCATGTGTTCGTTGTATTTTTTGTTGCTGCGTGTTTGTTGTATATTGTATAGCTGTCATATAGTTATTCATGTGGCTATTGTCTTTCTTGTTATCACAATTTGTATGAGTATTTTGTTTTTGGGGGGGAGGAGGGGAGGAAGAGGTAGTTAGTTTAATTTATGTAGGTTTTGTAGGGTTGTTGCTATTTTTTTTCCTGTAGTTTGTGTTGCTGTTGTAGATGGTACAGCTGAGGTGCGTGTGTGAGCTTAGAGTTCCTGCATCAGTTTTTTTTTTATGAGTAGATGTTTATAACTCTTTGCGTGACGCCTTGCAGTTTGCTAGGCTATTAAAGTTAAGTTGCGGTAGGTAGAGTGAAGAATGATGTTTGTGTTTTTTTTTTAATTCTTTCTCTTCTCTACAGAGGCTCGAGCTGTAGTTGCAGGTGGACCGGAAGTTCACGTACACACAGGAGTCAAGTTACGTCTGCACTGTACCGTAGAGTTGGCTACAGAACCTCCCGACTACATCTTCTGGTTTCATAATGACACCATGATTAATTATTTACCCAAACGGCCACTGAAGGTCGTCAACCACCACTTTGCTAGTTCTCTCGTCATCTCCAACGTCACCTGGGCGGATGCTGGGTCCTACCGCTGTGAACCTCACCTGGCAACACCCGCCAACCTCACGCTGCATGTTGTTGAAGGTACTACTGTCAACCTCACCTAACCTAACCAAACCTAACTTAACCTAACATATCCGAACCTAACCTAACCTAACCTTAAATACTGTAACTGCTTCTAACCTCCAACTCACCACCACCACCACTACTACCTCACCAAACTCACCATCACCACCACCACCACTACTACCTCACCAAACTCACCATCACCACCACCACTACTACCTCACCAAACTCACCATCACCACCACCACTACTACCTCACCAAACTCACCATCACCACCACCACTACTACCTCACCAAACTCACCCTCACCACCACCACTACTACCTCACCAAACTCACCATCACCACTACCTCACTACCTCACCAAACTCACCATCACCACCACCACTACTACCTCACCATCACTACCTCACCTAACCCGTAATCATCAACCTTTACACAACCTGTCTTGGTAATTTGCCCATGCACCAACTTGTACAGGTAAAACACAATGAAGCTAATTAATACTTGTTTATTTTATTCGGCAGAGCAACTTGTGTGTTCTCTCCTCCTTCCTCCTTCTCTTCCTCCTTCTCTTCCCTCCTCATCCTTCCACCCCTCCCTCTCTCCTCTCCCATTTCTCCCTCACTAGGACTACCACCACACACACACACACACACCCTCTAGCGTAACATTATACTTGGTGTCGTTAAGGAAGAATACTGCAGGTACAAGGTTAAGGCTAATTCCATAAATCTGAACACAGGAAGCAGAAATTTCCCTCCTTGTGATTTTCCTCCACCTCCCGAGTCCACAGGAGAGAGCCAGAGAGAATTCTGCTACCATCGTAAAAATTAAGGGAACTTTCCGTCTTAGATTTTTTTTTTTTTTTTTTGCATATGCTGTCCAATATTCCTTCTTTATCAGGTATTTTCTTTTGTGTTTTGTGTTTTTTTTCCTGTTTCCTCTATATATTCTTTTTTCCCCAGGTGTTATTAATTATCAGGTGTTAAATATCTCTATACCATATTGTAATATGACTATAACAGATTGTTTTGATTATTCTAAATATTATTCTTATTATCATTGTTATTATTATCATCATATTAAAATTATTATTACTAGAGATATGGAGTATTGCTATTAAATACTATTTTTATCACTTAACGCCTTTATAATAGGTAAAAGATAAGTGTTACTCTAGTTGCGGTTAATAGGAGCACAGTGATATGTTTGTCAGTCAGGTTCAGATGTTGTTTATAAGTCTTTGTGGTAGAGGTGGTGGCGTCACTTGTTACCTGAGGTATGTATAGGATCACCTGCTTAATAAAGACGTGGGTACAGGTAATGGAAGAGGTATTTAAAGTGACTAATATTTAATTTCTTGAGTATGATGATTTAATCCCTTGAGTATGATGATTTAACTCCTTGAGCACGATAACAACCACTTTAATACAATGACTTAACACCAGTGAGTACAACAAAGCATAACCTAACCAAACCTAACCTAACCCTCCTACGTTACTGGTCAACGTTAAACATTTCTGGATTAAAACATACGAAAGCACGTTGTATTTTTCACCCGGAATCTCAAACACAATAGACTTCCTGGTTTATTTTTTTATTTATTTATTTTTTTTTTTTTTTTTTAATATCCTGAAACGATACCAACATTTCAGCGACACTTTGGTACAATATTTTATCTCTTTACTTGAGCATTATCTGAATTAAAATAAAGATTAGTTCCTCCTAACTTAACCTAACCTAACTATAACGTCTCCTAGTGTTAAATATCTTTATTTTTGCAGGAGAAAAACATGCGGCTCTGCACAACGGTCATAGTGAGGGGGCAGAGCAAGACACCACAGCCGCCGCCGACTCCGCCCACCTCTCCCCACTCATGGTCGCCGCCGCCGCCTCCTGCTTGTTGATATTCGCCTCCGCTGGTCACCTTTACACGCTAGACAGTGATTGGTCGTAGTTATGGTTGTGATTTCTGTTGCAATATCCGCATATTTATACCATGATGTTTGTACTGTTTAAATCTTACGAGAATAAGAACTACTTTTGACGATAATTGTAATGATCTTTTATGTGATGTGTACAATGTCCATGTTACTATGGTGGGAGAGCAAATTGGTTCGAGGTCAAATGAGAGACTAAAGTTGACATCTACAGAGGAAACCTTTGACTGCTTAGATGAATAATACAACTTCACCCAAGATAATACAATAATACAAATACTGTACAGATTATGCACCGTTGTCTTCGTGTGGGTTAGGTTAGTTTTTTTTTTTTAATAAATTTCGATTTTTTTATATACAATTGTGTTTCGACGCAATTGATTTTCCCAGAATAATTTTTTTGTAATACCATAAGGAATAGAAGCGAGATTAACATTATACTCAGTTGTAAATCTTAGAACAGAAAATAAATTGACGTGACAGTGACATACAAATATATATATATATATATATATATATAACTATTAAAAGAAGAAGAAAAACGAGAAAAAGGACGAAAAACCAAAAAAAAAATAAGATTAAAGAAATCTTATTTGACATTAATCTAACCAACAGAACCTGACACACAACTCATTACTTTCTTAAGCCAGAAAAAAAATCAATTAAGTTCTTACAGATGACAGGTGTGAGAACTCGCCCACGTTACAGCTTTCAGTAAATGCTAAGTCAACTCTCCCATCAACTTTCTATCTCATACCCCGAGTTGTGGCTACGCTGGGCGGGGTGGGCGGTGGGAAGGAGGGAATGTCGAGTATCTCATAACCTCAAAATGTGTTGGAATGATTAATGGAAATTTGAGGATCGATTTCTTCTTTTTTTCTGTGGAATTTTTATCTTAATTTAGAATGAGAGAAGGACATGTGATTCTTGCCATAGAGAGTCTCAGTGAAATTTTGATCACCATCTAAAAAAAATCACAATAATTACTAATAATTTCATTTAAACTAATGAAAAATAACTCAAAGAAGACTGTAAGCTCACGTTTATAAATTACCTTTGACGTAACGATTCATTAGAGGAGATGATTTATGACTGCTAAATTATTCATAAACTCATTAACTTATTCATTAACACGTAGGGTAATGAACACACACGTATGAATACCTGTGTAGGGAGGAAGAGAAGTGGATGGACAGGTAACAAAATGACAAACGACCGACAAGAGGGTGAAAAGAGAGAAAGAGAGAGAGATAGAGAGAGACGGCAATGTTAAAGGGGAAGAACGAGAGGAAGAGAGAGCAGTAAGGAGTGATTGATGAGGTGAGAGAGTGGAGAAGGTGTTGGTGAATGAGGAAGAGGAAGAGGATGAATAACAGGTGGGAGAAGAAGGGAAGTTGAGGGTTTGGGAAGATGAGAAAGAGGAAGAGGAGGAGGAGGGGAAGAGTGAAGAGGAGTTGAGGTAGGAGACTAAAGAGGAGCGAGAAGAAGAAGGTGGGTGTTAATTAGTCATCCCACACAGTTAAGAACATCCCCCAGGTGTGAGAAACACGTAAGGAACAGAAGGAATAAACAGGAATTATTACATCAAGGGAGAAAGATACGAAGATAAGAATGAAGTAAACAAGATTAAAGGAAGGAAGGAAGGAAATAGAGGAACACGCAAGATGATAAATGGGAAGACACTAGAGAGAAAAGACTGTGGAAAAAATGAGTTGTAGAAGGAATACTTGTGCTTAGTATTTTTTTATTGACGTCTTAAGTTTCATTATCAACCTAACCTAGTGTGTGTGTATGTGTGTGTGTGTGTGTGTGTGTGTGTGTGTGTGTGTGTGTGTGTGTGTATGTATGTCTGACGCGCACACACACATTATTATACACACGTCTGCTATCAATCTCATAGTATTAACATCAACAATCAACCCGGCAGGCGTCCTTAGCAACCATCAACATTCGTAGCATTTGATTGGTTGTTGGTTGCTATGTGATTCATGACGTAACTCACTCAACAACCAATAAACTGCTGCTATAGGATCTGACGGGTGCTAAGGTCACCAGAACTTATAAGAGTTTCCTTTAGAAGTTCATCAGTAGAGGTTAGTATTCCTTCCCACTCTATTATGGAAGCTACGCCAGACGAAGGTTTAAGTCATCATTTGCCAGCACTGGAGATCTGTATAATGACCCACTTTTCTGTATCGGGAATATTTTTACCTTTTTTTTATCAATTTTTTCTTATCAAATTTGGTTTCATTTATGTAATTGTTTTTGTGTAGACGATTATGTGTTTGTAAAGAAACACATTTATTATAAAGGAACTGTGTTTGTTCGATTGTGTTTGCTCTCTGGTGCTTAACGAACAACAAAATAATAATGTCTCTTATTTCTCTTGTCGACAAATACTATCATTAACGTTAAGTGTTAATCCTACAGTTGTAACATTGATTTCCGCCAGGTCATGTAAACATCCTGGTTCCTTTAGTTTATAGGTGTAAATAATTTTCCACCTACATATAACATCACAGGTAGAATGAATTAGCTGGAGAAATATTACATCATAAAAACGTAAGAATAACATAAGGCTTCTATTAAATGTGTAATGTGATAGTAATTGAGACAATCTTTATCAATTTCCATCTTCAGGTAATAAATTATATACATCATTACAACCATGAATTTACCTGTGTACATTATAGGATCTCATTATAATAACTCATTCGTTTGATCCTCTTTACAGTAAAAAAAAAAATCATCATACATCTAGTTTGTTGGATATTACAGCTCATTCAACCTGGAACTAATCTACATTAGGCTGTAATGTAAAAGGGTGTACTATAACATTTTCATTAATCCTTGAATGACATCATGGTACTCCGGGATACCACCAAACGCATCCCAGTTTATAGCTGTATATCTCGTGTTATGACGCAATTGAGAGAGAGAATATATTTTACAGCTTAAACACCGAATACCTGTACAGTACTTATTTACGAATGTGAGTTGATTGATTTTTGTTTTACCTTCTGATACTAAATGGTAAAAGAAAATGATCTAACACAACTTACTTCTTTGTGTATTTATATAAAGTAACCATGATAGTTAAAGCGAAATGTGTAATGTTGTTTAATGATTACCTGTATAAAGATTAATAGGTAAACTAATCACCCGGAAGAGTCATTATACCAGTGTTTTATAATCGTGAACGTTCATCCTCCTTTTCCTCATCATCGTTATAAGCACAGTTCATTGTTATCGTTATGGTGTCAATTGTTTACGCTGATTCACAACAACAACAACATCAAAATTCATGTGTAGATGAAGCCAATTCGGTGACAAGTGTATTATGGGGTTTACTATAAACTTTCCTGCCATAACTCTCGGGTGACGGAAGGTTCTGGGTTAGCTACTCCAGTTTGTGTGTGTGAGAGAGACATGGTTCAAGGTTTATTTTTTTGGTGGTGGGAAGAAGTTAAGTCTCTCTCTCCCTTAGCTTTTCTTTTTACTCAACAACTCCCTACCGAAGTTTCCTTACGTCAACAAATTTCACTCACTTTCAGACAAGTAAAGCTGAACATATAAACAAACTTCCTGATGGACCTTAGTTTACTTTCTGCCCGGTCACACACACACACACACACACACAGACAGACATACACATACACACACACACACACACACACACACACAGACATACACATACACATACACACGATATAACCAAAAGTCTATTGAATGGATCGACATATTTAGTGATGACTTTAAAGAAATACTGCCAATAGGTCGAATGTGTCTATACCTCCCGGAGAAGTTTCCCGCCGTATCTCACAACGTCGTAGTATAGATGACTCCTGCCTTATAAAACTGAATTAATATTACGAGGTTGTTATATTCATTGAAAAAATTATTATTCTTGTAATCAGATTTTATAGATACGATATTATACAAATTTTCAGTTAGTGGGATAAGTATAATGTGTGGAGAGGTAGTACAAGCCTTGGGCGAGAGACGTAGAGAGAGAAAAAGAGAGAGAGAGAGAGAGCGAGAGAAAGTAGAGACATTAGACAATATATTTCATTCGTTCTTTGCGCACCTTCTGACAAACACCTAAAGTAATCAGTATTTTTTATTCAACAGTTCCTTACTATAAAATGTGTATTTAAACTGTATTTGATCAACTAATTCATCTACTATTGAAGGAAAATCACGGGAAAACCTCACAACTCGTCAATTATTCTAATAAACCTCTAACCTAGCCGCCAACATGTGCCCTCTCCCTGCTGATTGGTGGACACAAAGCTAAATATACCATAGGAACTTATCCAGAGCTTCAACACCATCTAGATATTGAACGAAGAACTAACCACTACCCTTTTTGTGATGCATTACGTAGAATTTGATGCTCCTTTAGTGTTCCCGTTCCACCTGTCTACTACTGAAGGAGGTGTTTACATGTTGTCCGTGAGTGGTGTTATCGGATTTGATGATAATAACATACGTATCAAGTCCCTTTTCTGAGTTATTGGTCACGTCCTGTTTACTAGTACCGTGTGTGTGTGTGTGTGTGTGTTGGTAAGAGAGAGAGAGAGAGAGAGAGAGAGAGACTGATAGAAAGAGAAAGGAGGGAAAAATAACGAAGAGAAAAAAACTAAAAAAAAAAGAAATCAAAACAAAAACTTAAGAGGATTTAGATTAATTATAAAAATAATTGGATAAAAAGGTGAAATAAACAGAAAGAAAAAAAAACAAAGACAAATAAAAGTAACCAAATAAAGACAAAATAAATAAAGAAAGAAAAATAAAGAGTTTTGGGATACGAGTTTAATTCCTGAAGGAGTTTGGGGACATAAGGTGTAATTACATCATTATAGCCACCTGAGTGTACAGTACAGAGACGTGAGCAGTATAATAACGTCAAGTTGTGGAGGGTAATGCTTGTTACACCCCCCCCCCCCGCAGTCTCTATCACAAAGGGTGTGTTAAGGTGGAAAGAGTGTGTTAAGGGTAGAGTGTGTTAAGAATAAAGTGTGTTAAGGTGGAAAGAGTGTGTTAAGATGGGAAGGGTGTGTTAAGGGTAGATTGTGGAAAGAGTGATAAGATAGAAAGGGTGTGTTATAGTTGAAAGAGTGTGTTAAGGGTAGTGGAAAGACTGTGTTAAGGGTAGAGTGTGTTAAGATGAAAAGGTGTGTTAAGGGTGGACAGAGTGTGTTAAGGTAGAAAAGGTGTGTTAAGATACATCCACTGAACTTATCCTTCACACCTCACTGTTATAATGTCCATTAAGCAGTAACTTTATTCTGGGAAAATGACATAAAATTAAGTTGTAACATTTTAAAAGCTACTAAATTTCCTTTCACATATATTTTTTATAAATTACCAAAAAAAAAAAGAGTTAAATTTTATATAATTAAAAGTTCAAGTCGTCTTTTAATTAACATGATAATAACAGTTAACATGGTATAGTATTTTGGATTGATTTTTTTTTTTTTTTGACATTCAACATTTTAGATTTTTCCACGTACAGTACATCGAAATTATCTCCCTCATTATTTTTTATTAACAGACACAAGAATATGTTAATAAATTACTAGAAAAAAAAAACTTTAGAAGAATGAGGTAATACGTTTTTGTTTTTGTTTTCATTACAGATTGACTGCTTAAAACTAATGACGAACACTATTTCAGACATTACAATATTTTAAAATCAGGATGATGGTATATCGAGGCGATTCATCAACATTAATAATAATAATTCTTTTCGTGTGAACCTAAAATAAATGATAATGTTAACTATTGTATTAATGGTCAATAAATCTCAATGTAAAGATAGTATTTTACCTTGGGCCCAGTCATAAATGTGCGTTTTGATCCACCAGAGCTCAGACAGACAGACAGACAGACAGACGCACCTACAGGGCTGCTTAATGTAAAAGATGACTATCCTTGAAATATTTGTCCTACCATCATTGTTTTTGTTGTAGTATATAATATAGCGCATGTTAAGATATAATATATTTTGTGTATTGATGTACGCACGCACGGTTTAAATCCTTGATATCAGAGTTTTTTTTTTTTTTTCAAATTAGATCCTTTATAGATGTGATCCCTAAAATGCTGACAGTGTGCCAAAAAATATTAGTGTAATTTTATGAATAAATGAACTTATTAATGTTTATTGTTTTATTTCATACAAGTTGAGAGAATTGTGTTTAGGGAGAATATGACTTTGAAGTTATGTATACACGTGAGAAAATGTTATAAAACTCCATATGTTTACATTATCACATAGATTTTCTAATAAACTTCTCAATGTCTTTTCTTCTGACCACCACACAACACTAGGCAACACGACCTCTCACTTATAATTGTCTCTGATTACTATAGAACAATCACCCATAACAACCATCTGTCTATTGAGGCTACTTAAAGACAGACCCATGTATAAAAGCCACCCATTGTATAGTGACTGTCTGACTGTCCAACCTAACATGGTGGCTACCTAGCGCTAAACTCTTTAGATATAAGAGTCCTGGAAAACGAGACCAGCCGTGCACATGACGTCAAGGCCACACGTCTGATTCATTGTCTGGTGGATCGTTGCCCTGACCAGGTCAACACCAGGTCAACACCAGGTCAACCACCCGCCTAACATTTGTATTCAGGTGATAGTGAAACATGGCCAACTAGTGTGAAGTGATTATTGGTAATTCACGTGGCAGAACTGAAAAGTGATGTTAGATTTTATCGCTTTCCCCAAAAATGTGGAGCTGAGACGAAAGAGGATTCATCTATACAAGAGAGAAGATTAGTTTAATAGTGATAAAAAAATATAAATAAAAAATGAATTACTTGACTGATTGACACAGAACACAGGAAAAACCCCTTAGAGATAACGCATTGCCAACACTCAACATGTCAAGATCACAAGGTAAGTTCTCGTTTCATTAATAATTGCCGTTTTACTTTTTCACCTTAACGCAGATATCCTGTAGAATATATAGTGTTACTGGTGGAAATTTGTGTTATATATGTGTATGATATGATACTCATGATAAGTGATAATATTGATCAGAGTTATGTGGTGAAGTGATGGTGTTATGTGGTGGTGGTGGTGGTGGTGTGTGGTAGGATGACGTGTTGTGGTGGTGTTATGTGGTGGTGGTGGTGTTGTGTGGTGAAGTGATGGTGTTATGTGGTGGTGGTGGTGGTGGTGTGTGGTAGGATGATGTGTTACGGTTGTTGTGGTGGTGTGGTATAAGGTAATACTGGTAACACGTGACAGTATAAAATATTTCTCATTTCACTATATGAGTCTGATAACGTAAAACGAGACCTAACAACAGCAAAATCAGCTATATGGTTTTGGTCATAGCCATACCCGTCTCTCCCATACAAACCAAAGCTACCTGATGAAGTGAAAAGGCCACCTACTGATACCACGTTAGTTTCCACCCACACCTGTGCTTGAGTACACCCTAGTGGCTAATAAAGGATATATCAATAGCGGTTCCGACACATATTTCTACCATTTTAAGTGAATTAGAAATTGAATGATAAAATTTATTCACAAGTATCACTTTTAAGGACAGATTTAGATGTAGAGTTCAGGCGCAGTAATTATATCATATGGTATAGTGGGAATGAGCTTGATAGCCAGACTGAGATGTATTCTGATGCTCTCTTATTCCTTCGCCTTACTAAAGAATGTCAAAACCTTCTTTACTCTGAGCCTATGGGACCCACTTACACTTGAGTCTTAATCGTCACCTCTAAGCAAAGTTGCCAAGTCTCCACCTACCCTTCCCCTTCCATACACCACCTCCCTCCCTCCCTTCCTTCCTCTCTCCTTTCCTGTCGAATTCTTTGTCCACTACTCTACCTGTATTCCTTACCTGTGTGTGTCACATCTCTGTTACAAACCGATTAACTTAATGACATCTTTGCTGATTATATCAATATCATCATCATTATTTATACTACAGTGACGAAATATGTTATAAAACGTATCATTAATTATACCACAACTTGTATATAATGCATAAAACAGTTTATTAGTGATACGTGTAGAAGTTTGTAAACAGTGTGTACACTAGGAGCCAACTATGACGTACAAAGTGTAAACAACTGTAATGTAAAAATAACAGAACATAAATATTTGATCATTATATTTGTTCCAATGCTTTGTTGATTGTTTATATCTCCGGAAAAAAAACTTTGGATATTCTGATGTGACATAATTTTATTTTATTTAATTTTTTTTTTTTTTCATTTTTTTTTCTGAATGTTGTCTCTTAAAATAGCCACCCAATTACACTGCCTCCTCCGTCCACAGAAAATATTGTCACAAAATATCGCGTACTGTGGCAGGACCAGACGAGGATATATGCAGCAGCACGACCCTCCACCTAAGATGTGAAGGCATTAGACACCAGCTTTGAGTTGTATTTCTCTCCTATCTAAGACAAAACATCACGAGACTCTATCTTACACTACTTAGGAAACACAACATCGATCCAGGGGAAGAAACGTACGAATCCATATTTTGTGCTGAAACTATGAAGGTGATAGTGTTTTGTTTATAACCTTTGAGTGTATGTTTACAGAAATTGTTGTTCATTTTTGTGTTGACTTTAACATGTGGAGGTAACTGGAGGGCGGTCATAACTGTGTGAGGCAGCAAGGGAGTGAGTGCGAGAGCCATGGATGACGGCACTTCACTCTTATTTTGTTAACTTGATAAATCTCACTTGTTACAATATTGTCAGTTGACCTCCACACTCGTTACTAAATAATCTCAATAAAGTTACCATTCACAGCTTTGGTATAGTACATAATCAAGTATTGTTTCAGTCAGTGGCATACCGTGGTTGCACTGATGAGTCTTACACAACACCCACATATATCAGTTATCAAATCAAATATCAAGTTGGATATGGCCTTCCTCTAAAGGGTTGTCAAGCTTTCATAAACACCTAAGAAACTATAGTAAAATTAATATATCTTATCTCAAATCATTTTGCATTAAATAATGGGTGCAAAAATACTTACGGCAAAAGAATATTAAGTTTTCTGTGTGATCTACAGTAATTTAGAAATAAAGTAGTTACAAAATTATCAGGTATCAATGACAACGCTTGGCCCTCTGTGAGTTGCCAATGATCTTATTTAAATAATCAGTATATATTTTTATTTATATGATCCGATTATTATTTTAGGTAAAAGGAAAAAATGAATAACTTTCCTAAGTGAAAAAAAACTATAACTGAAAGCGGACTGTTGAGTTATTTAGAAATATTAAAAATAATAATGTGGACCAGTTTTGTCCAACTGACTGAGAGCCATCGCCTTTTGACAAGTGAATGGAGTTTTCCAAGTGTACCCATTACATTTACAGAAACCTTATTAAATAGCGACTCTTATGGAACAACAACTCTTACGTAATATAATATCACTGTATAACACAGGACTTCATGCTTATTATGGGATAAAGGTATTAAATGTGACTAAAATGGCTCAAATCCCTTATGCTCCAACACAATAAAGTTCATTTTAGCATGTTATGTATAGGAAGGTTATGTCTATATGTCCACTTATCCTTCTGCATACATTGAGGCACGCTGAGTCTCCTTGACTTACCTGAGTGAAAACTGTGAAGACAATAAAATTAAAACTGTGAAGACAATAAAATTAAATCTGTATTATTGAAGATTAAAATACATATTTTGCTTTCTACTAGGCCTGCAATGTCTGCAATGTCACTCTACCATTTCCTCTACTTTTTCCACACCTTTAACTGATAACAAGTAAACTTTATTGGATCACCTCAAGAATAGCCACTAAACTTTATTTCACCTGGTGACTATTAACACGCTAACATTACCTGGGGGCTTAGGTGTGGTTAGGTTACTCTTAGGGTTTCAATCATCAGGTGAAATAAGCTAGTGAGGGGCTAGTGGGGGCTAGTCTTGGAGGTGATCTGCTTTCTTTAGTTCACTCGAGATAGGACACAGAGAGGTAAGGTAAGTACAATGTTTGGCTAGTGGTTTAACTCTCATTTATAAGTCATCAGGGTGGAACAGGTGGAAGCTAGACTGAGTAAAGGGCGTGTTAGTGTGGTAAGGGATGGGTTACGTATCGCATCACTTTTAACTAAATGCAACACGAACAAGCCAAACCTAACCTAACCTAACCTAACCTAACCAAACCTAACCTAACCTAACCTAACCTAACCTAACCTAACCAAACCTAACCTTAACTAAGATCTTGAGGTAAGGTTAAGTTAGGTTAATTATGATCATATTAGGGACATTTGTTAGGTTAGATTGGTTAGGTTAGGTTAGAGGTGGTTAGAGTGGTTAGGTTAGGTTAGGTTAGGTTAGGTTAGGTTAGGTTAGAGGTGGTTAGACTTAATGAATTGTCTGGTGGGTTATATCACAGGTTACAAGCGCCAGTATGTCATTTAAGTTTTGAAATATTGTTGATAACGACCATTAAACATAACGATAGTTAAGGTGAACATATTTCTACGTACAATTAATTTTGATATTCACATTATCAAACAGGACCAATTTAATTATAAATTAATCATAAGTATTGACTATTCGGCACTAGGCAACTGCTTCTCGTTTGCATAGAAAATAATTAATATCGTTGGTCGGGTCCTGCCTGCGTCCACGACTAGTTCAGGTTTATATCACACACACACACACACCAGTCAACCATACACTGTGCACTATATACTAACCAAGAACACACACTACGAACCACAGTTGTCTATAAGAAAACTAAAACAACATAACATCAACACTACACCCATCTCTGGGACAAAACACAACTGTTCAAAAGATAACATCAGTATTTATAATTTTATACGCTGACTAAGATTATACCCTCATCGTGTAACATGAATTTAGTAGCTGATAAAACACCTTACAAAAATCACTCTCACGTCACCAATAACTGCTTGACGCATGTATACATTTCCCATCTGTTAGTTTTCTCATTATTGACGTAGAAACTTTTTATCGATAAAATATTCTCGGGAAATTATATGTAAGTTTCCAATAAATTATATTCAGTATTTTTGTTTCTATTTGTTGGTTGTAAAATAATAAAACAAAATATTAAACCCTCTCGTCACTTATTGATCTCGATACAATTAAAAACGTATTATAATTTGGTTAAACTTAATTTTAAACTAATAATGTGGTACCATTTCTATATATATATATATATATATATATATCACTCACTCGTTACTGGAGATCAACTCGTTCCTGTGTGGCTGGCTTGTTACCTACGATACACAGTCAGTCAGATCACCACACAGACTACACTGAAGCAGTTTAAAGACATGCCAGCAGCTCTATATGTGACTTTACCTGCCGGGAATAGAGAAAATTACTCGGTATTAAAAAAGAATCCTAACCTAACCTAACCTAATGTTTTTAATGTTTGTTTATTGTGATATTGTCTCAGTCATTGTGTGTATGGGTTAGTGTTCTGTTTCACACACACACACACACACACACACATATGATGATAGGTTATGATGGGATGACTGACACATTTACTGTTGGTTACACTAATTAACAAAGGTAATGAAAGGTTGGTCAATCAAGTGCTTCCCTTTCACAAAAAACGTTCACTCACTTAATTAATGCAGGAATGAAACAACACCTGGGACATCACACGTCACTGTACTAGTGTGAGGGAACAACACCTGGGTCACCACACGTCACTGTACTAGTGTGAGGGAAGAACACCTGGGTCACTACACGTCACTGGTGTTAGCGTGGGAACTTCTCGGGGTATATATAAATAACACTCGACTCAGCACACACACACCCTCCCTTCCCGCCACCATGAAGTGTGTCGTCGTCAACCTCCTCGTACTCCACCTCGCCCTCCTCCTCACAGGTATTGACTCAAGGAATGACCTCAATGTGTGTGTGTGTGTTTTTTTTTTACGGGTATTAGCCCTCGAACACAATTAATGACTAAAATTAGACATTCTCGTAAAAAAGATCCCGTTTGGAGTGTTGTATTATCTGTTGATCATGAAACAATAATAAGAAAAATATCATATAAAACACATCTAATTATCGTGTCTATTAATCAGTTAGATATGTGAGGGTTTTTTTTCCAGTAATGATAAAAACTCACACGTTTAACATCGGTACACTGTAAACATCTGTAAACATCAGTCATATGTAGTTGAAGTATTAATGATTCCTCTCTGTGTTATCAATAAACACAAGAGAATAAGACTCTGGATTAAAGAGTAACTGTGTACTGTATGATGACATGAATAATAACGTGAGGGTGTGTGTTGCAGGAGTAGGGGGGGAGATGTGTGAGTGTGTGACTCTGGATCATGAGTGGGGAGGGAGCTACGCCGCTAAGTTCTCCGCCTCTACCCTCCACCCCTTTGTTGCGTTCGAAGTTGTACTCACCCTTGACCAACCTGCAGGAAGTTTAGAGGTAAGTTATAGGGAGAATTATACAGTCTTCTCCACGATGAACAGGGAGGAGGAATAGGAAATGCGATAAAGATAGAAAAAAAAGATTATCTGGAAGTATTTGATTCATGTCTCTATAAATGGAATTCTAAATGTTTTTTTTTTATCGCCCTTTTCAACATTTTAATTGTGCTCTCTCAGTGTCACCTCTCTCAGTTATTACTACAATAGTGACATTATCACCCTCCCCCACGCCCCACTTCCCACTTATCAACAGAGTTCATTAGCCCTAGTATTATTAATATCTCACTCCTTACCAGCAGTGATTATCTTATCTCCAACACTCCCTCACTGTCTCCCCCTGACCATGTTTACTTTCGACTGTAGTATTTTCAGCATCTGTATTGTTTCAGAGTTTTACGGTTCCCTGTATTTACGTCAACAGTGCCAATGTTTTGTATATCCTCACCTCCCCTCCCCCTCCCCCATTTCTTCTCTCCCTTTTCCCCTTTTTTTCCACTTCCCCTTTATTTCCCCATTATTCCCCTCCCCCTCTTCTTCTCTTCCTTTTTCCTTTTCTCCCTCGTCCTCTTCTTCTTTCCCTTCTTCTCCTCATCCCAATTGCCCCTCTCCTCTCCGCTTTCCCATTTATTCATACAAAAAATAAAAATAAAATAATAAAATAACAAAACACTTCTCTCCTCCCAAAGTTCTGGACAGGTGAAATCGAGAAGATGGACGACACTCACTTTAAGCTCTACAATGACAACTTCTTGGTCGGTACTGGCGGCTATCTCAAGTTCGACTTTCAGGTCCACTACTCCGGTGACTCTCGCCCGGACGTGATCGACGCTACAATGAACGGCGTCGATGTGTGTGGTGAGTTACCTTTCAAATTTTCGAGGAAGAAATTTAATTGTTTTTGTGTTTTTGTAAGGAGAAAAAACTGTATTATGTTACTATTTATTAAACTAAATAATTCATAATCAATAAACCAAAACAATCCAAACATGTTTTTAATTGAGAAACAAAAAAAAAGGAAAAATATCTGATTGGAAACGATAATATAGAAGGTAATTTCAGCAATATGTGTTTTGAATCATTAGCTTGAAAACACCAAATTGGAGCCGTGTTTATCCCAGCTAGTAGAGGGATTAATGTGCTTTAAAATACAGTGGAAAATATTACTCAATACTTCTACTGTTCTTGTGTTGATGTAGCGAGTGAGGTGATGTCTGAGGCTTGTATTTCCCACTCTCTCCCTCACTATCTTCTTCCTCCCTCTCCACCAAATGTATACCTAGTCACTCTCTTCCTACTTCCTCATAACCTAACCTAACCTAACCTCTTCCCTCCCCAACAGACGGAGGTGACCGCTGGACGACAGAAACTCCCTACGAGAATTCTTGCCTGTCCACGGGGATGTTGCCTTACGACTATAGCCAGGTCAGGTCAGGTTAGGTCAGGTTAGGTTAGGTTAGCGTCAGTCATGTGTCTTCTTGAGACAGATTTTTTGAAGCTTCTCCTCTATGTTAATCAGAAAAATACGTGGTGGGATGAACAGGATGTAAACAAGACTGAAACAAGACACAAAACTATTATCTACCTTAATCTTCACCTGTAAGAAAAAACTCCCTCACTTGAGAAAACCAACACAAGTTAGACCAGGAATAACTGGGACTGATCTCATTAAACGTAACAAGGCATCAATTAACACGAGAACTGTAACAAACATCTATTAAGGTACTAAAGCATCCATATGAAACTCTATTTACCCGTCTCACCTGCCTTACCTGCCATATACCTGTCTTATCTGTATTACTGTTCTCAAGACATTATTTACCTTAGATTCAATTAGTTACCTTTACCTGTAGGCGCTGTGTATGTCGTTCCTGTTCTACGAGGCCCAGCGGTCTGGTCACCTACCGGATACCCAACGAGTTACCTGGAGATGGGACTCAGCCATGAACGACGGAGGTGATGTGGGACTTAACCTGACTGGAGGATACTATGATGGTAGGTGAGATAGATAGATAGATAGATAGATAGATAGATAGATAGATAGATAGATATAGCTAATACAACGAAGAAAATAATGTTACATTTACAATTTGGAGCAGTGTATAACTAAGTCTCTGTACTCCCTTCCCTCTCCCCTCTACCCCCCTCTCCTCCCTCTCCTCTCTCTCACCCCCTCTCTGTGTCCTGTAGCTGGTGACCACGTTAAGTTCGGCTTCCCCATGTCCTTCACTGCTACCATGCTTGCCTGGGGCCTCATCGATTTCGCCGAAGGATACGAAACAGCAGGTAGGATGGGTATAGGATTTTTACACTAATCTGAGCCTAATTCCTTATGTAAAAATTGATATTAATTGTTAACGCTCATAGGAGCGTTATTGGTTTGTTGCTGGAGAAATAAACCCTCAACGTTGACGCGTACCATATAATTCGGTCAAAACCTGTTAAAGAACATTTCTCGTATAACAAATGCTGTTATCTCAGGACACATAGTATGAATAATACAATCAATATACAGTACATAGCCTGTTAACATCTTAAATATAACTCACATGTTATAACTGTTGATACAGGAGACAATTGGTATAATATGATCAAATTAGAGTACATAAATATACTTATTAAAGTTATTTAGAGTTTCTTAGCAGATTCTAATACTTCACGATCACTCACGTTTTAGGCCTTAGGGTCTAGTGGTCTGAACCAACGTGTTGTCTGTCCTGTAGAAATCAGTAGACTACCCTCGAGGGCAATCTCAGCCCGGAGGCGAGGGCCATATGTTTTCGTATTGAAACACCTCAGCAGCTTGGTCAGCAAATTCGTTGTCAACACTATATCTCTTATCTCACCCCCTCTCCCTCTCTCTCGCCTAGTTTTTCTTATTATGGTTATCCCTCTCTTTCTCTCTCTTCTAGCTTATCTTACTGTGGCGGTAACATTAATAATTTTCCCATCTTCTCAACACAATAAACAATGCTCTTAGATAAGTGAAGTATTATTAAAGTAAACCCATATTAAAAAAAATCTAAAGTATTATGATCCTTGAAGAGTATTATTATTGTTTACATATATTAAAATAGCCTTATAAAGATAGTCATCATGTAGGTTTTATAAGTGTTTTTTTTTTATTGTGAATTTTTATTAAGTATTTTTGTATTTCGTGGTGTAGGTCAGACGGATTATGGTCGAGAGGCTCTAAAATGGGCGACTGATTACTTCCTGGAGGCCTACACTGCCTACTGGGAGTTCTATGGCCAGGTAAGGTTCCTCATCTCTATTTACAGGTTGCTTGGGCATTAAGGGAGGGATATACTAGTAATGATTGTTGTGTATTCCAATGACAGATTTACTGCCCTCCCCCCCTCCCACACACACACACCAATAAACCTTCACTCAAAACGAAGACAAAAATACTAATTAAAATTGACCTTCAGGTAGGTGAAGGAGGCATTGACCACGGCTACTGGGGAAGACCCGAGGACATGTTTATGAAGAGGCCCTCAGCGAAGATTGACACTGAGGCTCCAGGTGAGTGCCTATCGCCATTCTGACTTCACCCTTGCTCTTTGATGACATTCAGTGTTAATACCTATGGACCATATGAAGATTAGACATCCTGACTTATTTCACAGGTGTCATGTTAAGTTACTTTAGCTTGTGTTAAGTTATGTTATATTAAGTTAGATTAGTTTAGGTTATGTTAAGTTAAGTTAAGTTAGCTTTAGGGTGTTTAATCATCAGGTGAAATAAGCTAGTGTGCCAAACTCTGTCACCTCGACTTACCGTAATCCGAACCTCATGCAAATAGGATACCCCACCAACCAATTAGAATCTTCATATTTTCTATAACCAGATAAGATAAGATTATTGTTATTATAAAATATCAGTAATATCAGTTTCCTTCAGTACTTTTAACATACGACTCTGTTACTGATAATTATGGTAGCGAAAGAAAGACAGATTTAGAGAGACAACTTTATTCCTGACGTTTCCTGTATAAGGGATTCAGGGAAATAGGATTCGGTAGAGGGATTCGCACCAGGGTTCACATTCACAAAGATTCTGAATGTTGATTTTGTTCCCGAGCTGGTGGTTGAAGGCTCATTATCTGGCTAAGGTATAAATAGTTTCATCGATGTTTTCATACAATTAGGAAGATCTTCTTAGTTTTGGGGTTAAGCAGGAGAGTTAGGTTAAATTTCATTTTAATGTTTATTAGAGGTTCATGAAACACTTTTAGGATCATCTGTCCTTAATTATTCTTTTTTTACGTTTAAGTGAATAAAAAAAAACGTACAATGTGTCAGCAGCAAATACTCACTCACCACATTTATTGGTGTTGGTTTACAGGATCTGAGTTAGCAGCCGAGACAGCCGCCGCCCTTGCTGCCGCCTCCATCGTGTTTAAGGTAAGACGGACGTAAGATTCCCCCCTCCCCCCCTTACTGTGACATGTCTATTGCGTCTTCTACACCTATACTCTTCCTTGTGTGTCGTGGTGTATAGGCTGCCCGGACCATCCTTGTGTGTCGTGGATGTTCCTTAAAATAAATAATGATAAGAAGTGATAATCAGATAGAGAATGTATCCAGATCTTAATCGTAGTCAAATCATGAACGTATGTATGTATGTATGTATGTATGTATATTGTATGTATGTATGTATGTAACATCAAAAATGCAAGAGAAATTCAGGCTACATGACCCACTATATTTTTTTTTTCTCTCTCTCTCTCTCTCTCTCTCTCTCTCTCTCTCTCTCTCTCTCTCTCTCTAGGAAGACGACCCCGACTACTCGACTAAGATGCTCGGAGTAGCTAAAGAGTTGTATGACTTTGCTGACGAGCTGAGGGAGTATTACCACAACTCTATAAAGGATGCTGCTGGCTTCTACAGGTAAGTTGTACACATCTGTTTTACCTGTTAGTGCCTAAACTCTTTCTCCCTCACGACCATCACCTACTTACAACATCATTATCATCTCTCTATATCACCACTGAAGAAGATATTGAAGCCACTCTCGCCCTCTCCCTGAATCATCTCAAATCTCGCATACACGCCACACAACGAGAGGCATTCAACGAAAATTGGACACACCTGAAACGACGGGGCAGCATCACACTATGCCACTATGACGCTGTAACCGGTGACGACAACCGCCACTACAAAGAATATCAATCCCTGACTCGATCTCAACAGCTTATATACATGAGACTGCGCCTAGGGTACAGGTACCTATGGGAGTACATTGGCAACCCTGAGCCTGGCCGCACTGTTTGTAAACTTTGTGGCCAACCCGACTCTCACACCCTCTCTCACTACATCCTCACTTGCCCTATGACCTCCTCCTACAGGTCCCCAGCCGTTACCAACACCTCTTCCCTCCCAGACCAGATATCCCTCCTCCTTGTCACAGGCCTGGCATTTGACATTATTAGGGACCTGCCACTCTTTGCCATAAACAGATAAAATGTACCGGGAACTTTCCCCCCACACTCTCATCATTCTCTCACTTTATGTAACTTGACAAAACCTATGACCCTTCAGGCTTTTACGCCCTTAATGTACGAGTCATAAAGGCAAGTATGAACTTTTCATACTTCCCTGTTGGGCGCTGTAAACGCTTCTGCGCTTCACCTTGCACAGGATGTAAGGGGGTGCCCAATAAACTAGCCCCCTCGGGGGCAAATCTGAATCTATATCACCACTATCACCTACCTACTTCACCACTATCGCCTACCTACTTCACCACTATCACTGTCAGGTCCTTACATCAACTCTATCACCTACCTATACCACCACTATTAGGTACCTCCGTCACTACCACAAGATGACTTGACCACCTTATACTACCTATTGGTCAGTGACACATAATGACCTGACCACCAACAGGTCATGGAGTGGGTACGGGGACGAACTATGCTGGGCGGCACTGTGGTTGAACAGAGCCACGGGGAACAAGACCTACCTAACGAAGGCTCAGGAACACTGGGACGAGTTCACACTGGCGGAAGACGCTCTCCAGTTCTCGTGGGACGACAAAAAAGCTGGAGACTATGTAAGTACTGCACGAGTTAATTTTATCGTAACCTGTACCTTCTGACACACACACACACACACACACACACGGGAGGATATGGTTTCAACCAAAGTTAATAGCAATGTTTGCACTTCACTCTACATAGAGACACAACCCTGTACTCAACTGATCAGATGTACATGTCCACAACACTGTAGCGACACAACCTGTAACTTGTGACTCTTCCCCTGCAGGCACTGGGCTCAATGCTTGACCCAGAGAACCCTCAGTACGAGACAGCGCTCAAGGCCTTCCTGGAATACTTGAAGAATGACGCCTCGTACACCCCGGGAGGTCTAGTCTTCCTGGACGAGTGGGGGTCCAACAGACACGCTGCTAACGTCGCCTTTATCTCTCTCTGGGTAAATGAATAATGACTATTCTCACAATAATATCATCATTATACTGGCTGGTTATTTTGTCATCTGAAGTTATTATTTAAAAGGTAGTATACTTTTAAACAAATATGTATGTTCTTCTCCCTCCAGGCGGCTAAGTACGGTGACCAAGCCGACTCCGAGGCAAATCGCCAGTGGGCTGAGGGCCAGATGAACTACATCATGGGGGACGCCGGTCACTCCTTCGTCGTGGGTTTCGGTGTGGACCCACCTCAGCGTCCACACCACCGCTCCAGGTACACACACACACTCACACACACACACACACACACACACACACACATTAGAATGTACTACATCAATGTAATATTCTTCCAGCACGTATGAATATCATTGTCTACGTTTATTTTCTCTTTCAATAATAACACTCATATTAAACACAGGCGCTATAAGTCCTGACATAATGCTCTCGGAAGTGTTTATCAACATAGTTAATTAATAATAAATGTTTTATTGGTCTCTCTCTCTCTATCTCTCTTGGGTCAGCTCGTGCCCGCTGCCACCAGCCTCCTGCACTGACGGCTGGGCACAGAACCAGGATGGCCCCAACCCCCACGTCCTCTACGGGGCACTGGTGGGTGGACCGGCAAAGGTCAGTACCCACCGTGTTATTGTTAGTATAGAATATTACTTCTGTGTTAGGGTTCTCATCCCACCCCCCCTTCAGTCCTAACTACCACTCTTAGATGAATTACAGTCTAAATATGCTCGTGTATATATCATCAATTATAACTCACACATTTCCTCCCCCGTACCTTCCATTTATATCACATCTTCTACTGCCTCACTTTTATCTTTGCTACCCCTGGTCTCCACACTCAGGGTTTATATGAAGTCCAGTCCAAATCTTCCCTCCATTTCATCCCAGTTACACCACGGGTCTTTGTTTGTCATGTCGCTTCTTCCTCTGTGCCACATGATCTTGTCAATCACCACTGTTTCATCTAATTCCTTCAGTATAACTTACTCTCTTCTCATTCTCTGGTACGACTCTCTACAGGACGGAACTTACGTAGACGACCGCAAGGACTACCAGCACAACGAGGTGGCCTGTGACTACAACGCTGCCTACACTGGGGCTCTGGCGGCTATGATCGAGAATAGCTAGACCCACCTGCAAGTGTTTTAGGTTGCGTTAGTGAACCTAGTGTCCATCTTTCCTGTCTGTGGTTTGTGTGTCCCTCCCAGGTCTTATCTCACCAGACTTTCATAATTTTGATCCTCTGAAACTATGAAGTAACGCATTTATGAAAAATAATATATAATATGACATACAGTAGTTTGCATCTTGTGGAATAATACAACAATTCAGTGATGATGCAAGATTAAGTGACACACGATGTATCAAGAAAGAACATGTATTCACCCCCAAAAAACATATGAAAGTAATACTGGTGTGACAATTAGAGTAATTAACTGAAACTGAATTTGTAAATAAAAGAAAAATAAATGGGGTCCATACTCTATATATACAGTATGAAGAAAACAAGAAATGAGTATTTTATTGAACCTTAGAAACATTTCAAATAGTATAATAAAGAAGAATAAAATGTGGCTATCAGTTTCATGAAAATATTACTGGGTCTTTTCTCGACCTTAAGTGGCGGCCATCATCAGTAGAGGTAAAGTTTCATGTTACTTTTGTTCCATTTTTGTGCCTCTGAGGGAGGGTGTGCTGGGGCAGTTGGTCCTTAGCCGTATAAGTAAAAGTAACACCGAGTACAGGTTAAAAATGCTAAAGTAAAATTCCTAAAATGACGGACACGAGTCCACCAACAACCATCCGATACTTTACTTTATCTTAATATTATACAGTAACCTCTCCACTCCGTCAGTGATCGACCTGTTAGCCACTAAGTCGGTCAGTCACGTCTCTGGTATAGTTGACCTATACTGAACATGTAATGGCTCCAGTAGTGACACAAGCATTGACGGCTAGCAAATCTAACAAAGCGATGGAAGTTAAGGAAAAAGTGAACCAAACACAACTGTACTCTCCCTGGAACCGCTAGTATGTTGCTGACGAGTGGCTAGCAGAAAATAACACTCCTCTCCTCACACACAAGGGTAAATATTGTCTCATCCCAGTGTACTTCTATGGTTACTAGATATAGATACTTTATTTTTTTGTGTTATTTTTGTCTTCGACCAGTGGTGAAGAGGATAATAAGGACAGATAAGAGAGTGCTGTTATACCTTTCGTTTTATTTATGTTTTCTTTGAAATACGAATAACAGAAAAGGTAATTTATTCGGGAATGGGAATCTCATTCGGGTGGAATCTGAGTACTTGTCTATCTTAATCCAGAGGTGAGGTGGGTGTAGGGGAGGGGGGTGCCCTGGGGGTCCGGACCCTTCCTTTTCATCAGAAAATTCCAATACCTTTTGTTACCGCCACAGTAAGATAAGCTAGAAGAGAGAGAGAAAGAGAGGGATAACCATAATAAGATAAACTAGGCGAGAGAGAGAGAGAGAGAAGGGGTGAGATAAGAGATATAGTGTTGACAACGAATTTGCTGACCAAGCTGCTGAGGTGTTTCAATACGAAAACATATGGCCCTCGCCTCCGGGCTGAGATTGCCCTCGAGGGTAGTCTACTGATTTCTACAGGACAGACAACACGTTGGTTCAGACCACTAGACCCTAAAACGTGAGTGATCGTGAAGTATTAGAATCTGCTAAGAAACTCTAAATAACTTTAATAAGTATATTTGTGTACTCTAATTTGATCATATTATACCAATTGTCTCCTGTATCAACAGTTATAACATGTGAGTTATATTTAAGATGTTAACAGGCTATGTACTGTATATTGATTGTATTATTCATACTATGTGTCCTGAGATAACAGCATTTGTTATATGAGAAATGTTCTTTAACAGGTTTTGACCGAATTATTTGGTACGCGTCAACGTTGAGGGTTTATTTCTCCAGCAACAAACCAATAACGCTCCTATGAGCGTTAACACCTTTCTTTAATACGGTGAAACATATTGTGAATTTAGGTATTCCTTTAAAGAACTTATTCTTAGAGAATATCAACTACAAACACTCCCCAGTTTATCATTAAGTGAATTATAAGTGGTCGCTCAAGAGTAGATACTAAGGTGATTATACCAAAAATGGTGATACTTAAAACCTAGTGTTTGTATTACACATGTTTGGGTGGGCAGGTGTACAGACTAGTTGTGTAAAGGAAAAAATGTTTGTCAATTAACCCAAATTCGCCCTTTACTTTTATGAAACATATTACAAGGTCAAATGAGTCAGCTACTATGATAACGAAGCTAATAATTTATATGAATAAATTTACAATATATATGAAATAGAGGTAATTAGGTGTCGTGATTCTTGTATGTTTGTATTGAGTATGTAGAATGACTCTTGTACCTCACAAATACACTAACGACTTTTAAAAGTAGGAACACCAACTATCTTAATTCACTATTCTGTTGACGCGACCATTGATTATCTCCTACTCTCACTGATTAGGGAGAACTTATCTTCTGGGTCGAGTTTTGTGAACTTAAATATACTTTATAATATCAACAGTTGAAGCAAATTATGAAAATAAGTTTGTTTTCCGTGTTGTTGTTGTGTACATGTGACCAACTACGGTATGGATCATAGTTATGGTATATTATGATTCAGGCAGGTACAGCGGTGGGTGGGTCTTATCATCTGATGATCTGTTATACCAATCCTGTCTTATTTCGTTGTTTGTGTCAGTTAATCTGTATTTTTCTTGCACATATACTTTTTGCGAGTCGTCTGATCCTCTCATAACAACACGTAGGTTCAGACACAAAACAAGTAGAGTAATCAGTACAGGACACAGGATATACAGTACGACAACTCCGTCAGCGAGGAATGCTCTGGCAGCACAAGGACAGTGTTTATAAAGTCATGGTGGAACAGTGAACACTGCGTTGCTAAACAGTGTTACGCTTCACTGCAGGAGGACAATGTTGTTTACGGTGGCGCTGCTGGTGGTGGCGGCGTGGTTGTACTCCAAGTACTGTCATACCTACTGGGCGGCACGCGGGGTGGTCACTATACCAGGGTACATTCCCTTCCTAGGCCACAGCCACAAGCTCTTTAGAACGTCCTACCCAAGATGGCTGTACATTGATGAGGTAAATCAGGAGGTGCACCAGGTGGCTGTACATTGATGATAGGTCGGGAGAAAGATCGAAGGAACAATTTAGTTGGATTACTTATTGGTTAAAACAGATACAAACGATGATATATACAGTAGATGTTAAACAAATAGTCGATTTATCTTTTTTCCCGCAGGTATACAAGAATCTTACTGGATCCAAGTTCTGTGGATACTATGACCAACTTACACCCACTTTAATGCTGATGGACCCTGAACTAGTAAAGACTATCCTTATTAAAGATTTTAACCACTTTGCCGATCGCCGGAACTTTGGTATGACCTCAAAGAGGGACGAGACGGTTAAGGAAATGCTCTCATTTTCAAATGGGGACCATTGGAAAAGAATCCGCTCGGTGTTGTCCCCCATATTCAACTCCAGCAGAATAAAGGGGATATTCCCTTTGGTGGCGCTGAAGGCTGATGCTCTGGTAGATTATATACACAGAGAAATAAAAAGCCACTCAGCTCTCCCACTTAGGAAAACATTTGCTTTGTATACCCTGGAAGTCATCTCGTCTTGTGCCTTTGGGGTGGAGACAAATTCTTTTCAAGGTGAAGAACAAATCATTAACGATATGGCAGATAAGCTATTAAATGTATCTGGCTCTCGTTTTCGTAATATGAAGACGCTTCTGTTCTTTTTATTTCCAAGGAGTTGCTCATTTTTTAAGATCAGCTTTTCCCCGCCTGAGATAGTCTTCTTTGAGAACGTCATTATGGAGACAATGAAGCAGAGAGAAAAAGGAGGAAAGCGCGGCGACTTCCTAGACCTGATGATGGAGGCTCGCGAGGACCAGAAGGACCCTGACTTGAAGGCCCCAAAATACCGTAAAGTGATCTTTGATTTGTCTCCTGAATTTTCTAATGATTTCATTACATTTTCTTTATTGATGAAAATAAGAAAAAAAATAATATCAGTGGGCATTGTTATCTGCTGTTAGTTTATAGCATGAGATTTGAAGTTTTGATGAGTTAAATATAAATGGTGAATTCTGCTGACGAATATGAATTTTTGGGACACCATGTATGTAGCGTTCTGTCCTCACTGCCAGTCAGCTTCAAGGGGTGCCAAATAGTTACACATTTCTCTTCTTCTCTCTGTTCCTCTTCTCACACCTCCAAACCATCTCCCATTAATAGATGGATCTCCTCAATAGTTAATATATAGAGTTTATAATCAAGAAAATTTCTTGCTATTGCCCTCACATTATTTCTTCATTTAATTATCGGGCCTTTTATATACTTATTCTTCTGCTCTGTTCCTGGTCTGAGCTCCGGCCCTCACCTAGGAAGAACCTGCAGGGAACGGATCAAACTTATATTTTTCTTACTCATAAATTTTACCCTCGCTTTGAGTACATAGTTTGATCATCAGTTTCCTCCTACAGCACTGAAGGACGTTACTATAGTGGCCGAGTCCATATTGTTCATCATAGTCGGGTACGACACTACAGCCACCACCCTCTCCTTCATCGCCTTCCTTCTGGCTCAGTACCCCGAGCAACAGCAGCGCCTGCGACAGGAGCTGAAAAACATTGTCAAGGAATATGGAACACTCACCTACCAAGGCATCATGCAGGCCAAGTTTCTCGATGCTTGTATATCAGGTAAGTGACCTGGGTGAGGTTATATTTTGTCTAATTTGCTGAAATTGGAGTCACTCGATGCTGGTGTTTCAGGTGAGTTTATTTGGCGTGGACGGTGTCTGTGTTATGTCTGACACTTTGCAATAACTAAAGGGGATAAATATGAGATGGATAGATGCAGAACTTACATATCAAACCTTACGCTCTGGTTTGTGTTTTGACTGCCTTACTGAATAACTCTAGTGATACATTTGGCCTTTGTTGAATTCTAATAACAAGTTGATGCTAAACGTATATGGAGACCAATAAAGGATCAGGTTACAAGGCATGAATATTAAAAAAAAATCTCCAAAAGTTGTAAAATAAATAATTAATTGTATGTGAAGGTCATCGCTATTAATATCAATTTATTATAAGACTGTAACAATGGGGAAAGGAAGTCTAATATCGAATCATGAATACAGTCAGCTTTGCTACAGTATCGTGGTTACTAATAACAAGTTTCATTACAGAGGCATTAAGATTGCACCCCACGATCAACTTCGTGGAGCGGATTTGCACCAAAGACTACAAGTAAGACAAAAATCTTTACTTACTTTTCATTAAAGTTGAGTGAATAGCCACAAGGGATGTCGACATAAAGTATTCAATATATTGTTATCACGTAAGGCAATAATTTTACCATTCGCCGTAACTATTTTTGCATTGCCACAAGTGTAAATAACGACATTAGCTGAAGGTTTTGTGTTGTACCTGGGAATAGACACGAATTTGATAATAACTTGACCGATTGGATCGTAACCTCACTCTAGCTGTAAGGAAAGGAGACTGACCAACAGATTCATAAACACGAGGAAATTATATTCCTGTCGTAGTTTATCAGAATACTTTATCAGCATTAAAAACACTTTAAATACGAGTCCTTTGATGTCCAGTTTAGGTAACATGTAAATTAAAAGTTAAAAGATGAAAATTTTTGCCCATTTAAAAGTTGAAGTTATAAGTAAGACTGTAACATCATTTGAAAAACAGAATCGAATTGAACTGACTTCGAATCAAATTAAGCCATACGCCCTGATATGTGTAGTGACCGCCATATTGAGTACCTTAAGGATGGTTCGTTCGGTTCAGAAGATTAACTGGTGATCCTTTAGCATCTCAGGTACTGATATGATCATCCCAAAGAAGACCATAGTAAGCATCCCGTTCTGGAGCCTCCACAAGGACCCTCAGTACTGGGCTGACCCGGACGTCTTCAGTCCAGACCGATTCCTGCCAGAGAACAAAGACAAAATTAAGAGTGGTACTTATCTTCCCTTCAGTCTTGGTCCGAGGAACTGTATCGGTGAGTGGTGATAGTAACTGTATTGGTGAGTGGTGTTAGTAACTGCATTGGTGAGTGGTGTTAGTAACTGTATTGGTGAGTGGTGTTAATAACTGTTTTGGTGAGTGGTGATAGTAACTGTATTGGTGAGTGGTGTTAGTAACTGTATTGGTGAGTGGTGTTAATAACTGTTTTGGTGAGTGGTGATAGTAACTGTATTGGTGAGTGGTGTTAATAACTGTTTTGGTGAGTGGTGATAGTAACTGTATTGGTGAGTGGTGTTAGTAACTGTATTGGTAAGTGGTGTTAATAACTGTTTTGGTGAGTGGTGTTAGTAACTGTATTGGTGAGTGGTGATAGTAACTGTATTGGAGTGGTGATAGTAACTGTATTGGTGAGTGGTGCTAGTAACTGTATTGGTGAGTGGTGCTAGTAACTGTATTGGAGTGGTGATAGTAACTGTATTGGTGAGTGGTGATAGTAACTGTATTGGTGAGTGGTGTTAGTAACTGTATTGGTGAGTGGTGATAGTAACTGTATTGGTGAGTGGTGATAGTAACTGTGTTTGTGAGGGGTGATAGTAACTGTATTGGTGAGTGGTGATAGTCACTGTGTTTGTGAGTGGTGATAGTCACTGTATTGGTGAGTGGTGATAGTAACTGTATTGGTGAGTGGTGATAGTAACTGTATTGGTGAGTGGTGATAGTAACTGTATTGGTGAGTGGTGATAGTAACTGTGTTTGTGAGTGGTGATAGTCACTGTATTGGTGAGTGGTGATAGTAACTGTATTGGTGAGTGGTGATAGTAACTGTATTGGTGAGTGGTGCTAGTAACTGTATTGGTGAGTGGTGTTAGTAACTGTATTGGTGAGTGGTGCTAGTAGCTGTATTTGTGAGGGGTGATAGTAACTGTATTGGTGAGTGGTGATAGTAACTGTATTGGTGAGTGGTGCTAGTAACTGTATTGGTGAGTGGTGCTAGTAACTGTATTGGTGAGTGGTGCTAGTAACTGTATTGGTGAGTGGTACTAGTAACTGTATTGGTGAGTGGTACTAGTAACTGTATTGGTGAGTGGTGATAGTAACTATATCCTGTGAGTGGTGATAGTAACTGTATTGGTGAGCGGTACTAGTAACTGTATTGGTGAGTGGTGATAGTAACTATATCCTGTGAGTGTTGATAGTAACTGTATCAGTGAGTGGTGCTATTAACTGTATTGGTGAGTGGTGTTATTCTATAATAAATTAACTCGGCGTTGAAAACTATTGTAATCGCCTACTGTGTCTGCCCTCACAGGGATGCGGTTCGCCTTGATGGAGGTCAAGTTGGCGCTGGCCAAGATTCTCCTGGATTTTGAGGTGAGCTGCGCACCTGGCCAAGAGCAGATGGAGTTTGCTAAATCCTTTGGAAGCATGAGACCTTCACCAGACATGAAAATCGTCTTCAAGCCGTTGATCAACTGTGAACAATAACCTGCAGGGAGAGGCTGTGACTTCTCCCACACTGTTGTGAAAGAGGAACAGTGATGTAGAGGAGCAGGAACACTACAGTAGTGTTGAGAATGTGAGGTGAGCAACAACACAGTGGCCTCAAGCATATATACAAGAATTCTCCTCAAATTATCACAATCAATAACACTGCTCTTCGATCATGGTGACGAAAAATCATGAACAATAGAATAACAATTTCTTCATAAAAATGTAATTTTATGAGTTAGATAATATGAACTGTGCCATTAAGTTGATTCACTTCCATTCTATTTCCATTCATAATTGTTTTTTGTAATTATATTTTTTAAATCTCTCACACTACTCTGACGCATAACAAACCTTCCCTCATGATCAGATCCTATAGAGGCCACCACTATCGCTTGCTAAGCCTCGGGAAGGTGAAACTCAGACGAGGTTCAACTGAAACTGTTGCAACTGACAGTGGGAGGTCCGCACAGGATAGTGATCACTGAGGCTGTCGGCCTCAGATCACTGTGGCCAGTTTGTCTGGGGATGGAAGAGTCTCCATTAACCCTTAATAGAAGCAGCTGCTCCTCTACGACTGGCTGTTGCAACAGTCTGCGGGTAAAAGTGACCTACCTGCTTTTTAATGTCGAGGGGCTGAGCTAAGAACACTAAGCTCTTGAAGTTTGATCTATACTAGAGCAAGACGTTCACCGACACTGTACATAAAGGATCATCAGTATCGAAATATATGGAGAATAAATGATTTAAACTACCTTGTTTGTCTCTCTAGTTTCAAATGCAACGCAGCCAGTAACCTTGTATTTTATACACTGTGCAGTATTAAAGCAAATATTGTCAGTGATAAAGTGAACAGACAGTACTGAAGTTTACATTTGTTATCCGAAAAAAGTTTTCAGGAACTTCAAGGCGTAAGTAAAAAATTCCGTACTTAGGAATATTATTGGAACTGTTATTTCATTGTCTTTGGTCGGGATGCTCCATCTTGTCTCATAATGGTTCATTATATGGAAACTTCAAAGTTCTCTTTAGTCCTAAAATTAAAATGAAGAACACTAACAATATAGACGTCTTTTGTAACGGCACGAAGACTATGGCTTGGCACGCACAAAAACCGTCCACGCACGCCCACAGTCATCTTTTGCGGCTGTCTGCTACACAACGCCAACCGACTCCGATCCACTACCTGAAGAAAACATAGATTTAGTCGAGTTCTTGTCCTCATCTCTCAAATATATCACCAAATACTCGGAGTACATTATCCATATACGGTATATACATAACTAAGTTACTCAGCGTCATATTTTCTTTTGAGAATTGTATCCATCGCAGTTGTGTAACAACAGTATTATATTGCTCGCGGTCGTTACAAGAGTCCTGGTCGAACGAGGCTTCAGATTGGCTGCAAGACTCTTGAACCTGCTTGAAACAGTTCGACACACGCTTTATTGGCGCCCGCCGCCTGGTCAGTTCCCTGTCAACATATTGATAATAAGGTCTCGGCTCTGCTGTTCTCTACAAAGTGAAATTTTCTTTCTGTTGCATAATAATACGTATTGAAGATTTTGGTAAAATCATAAGCACTTAGCATTAGTGTACTTTTCTACGTCTGTGAATAGAAACGTCGAAGTTGTACCAGCAAGATTACCGACCCGTTCCAGTGTTGCCAGTGTTTGAGGGTAAAGCCGCCATGACAGGGGTACCTAGTGACAGCACTAGGATCCCGCTTCCTCTATCAAGGAATAAACAATTGAAATTGAAATTGACAAAACACTGCCATGGGGGCAGAGTTCTGTTTCATAATGCCAATTTCTTGATAAAATAGAGTAATTAGCAATGTTATATCGCGATTAAGGGCCTTACTTGCTGAAGCACAGTAAAAACATTGACGTCAACGCCAAGTAGGCCTACAGTATAACCCGTGACAAATGAGTCTGTCACAAGATGAAACAACAAGGAAAGTCTGGTAAAGTAAGATGTTCACAGTTGTTTCTGACCGGACAGGATTATATCAACGCGCTAGTGAGACCTGATCATAAAATAAGTTTAGTAAACAAAATAAATTATTCCCAATATTTCTCGTTAAATTAAGTTTGAGATGGATACTACTATTTCGAGAGGTTAAACAGTGGGCCACAGTATGCAGACAGGTAAATGCTGAGATGAGGATTAATGCTGTTCGTAAAGTAAGGTCTAGGAGGGGGTTGCCACTTCTAATTTGGTTAACGCTAAGTTGGTCGCCACATTTTCTCTCTATTGTTTTACGTTTTTTCATTAATTCATAATGCACTGAATGACCTATAACGGGTTTTTTCTTCTTTAAATTTACAAGATTTAACCCGAACACCACATGGTCTTGAAGCGAAGGAATTTTGATTTATTTTACTTCACTTTAACCTCTTCACCACTTGTATGTTCTGTTATGCACTATAGCAAATACTGCGGCATTTACGGGTTCTGGAAGACTTCTAGAATCGTTTGTGTTGGTAAAGTCTGCAGGTCATTCTCTGGCAGGTTATTCCAAGAGTTGATAGATCTTATTCTAAACAAGTTCTCTCGAGAAGTTTCTGTAGCGAGGCTGGGAACTCTAGTGGGGTAGTGATCTTCTCATTCGATATATTTACATTAGACTTCGTTATACACTTAGAGGTGTTTATAAACTAAGACGTCATAATCAATCTTGGCGTGAGAAGTGTCGGTGTCGCCCAAACATGTATAGGGCCGCTAAATCAGAAGGGTTTGGGTCTTCTACGCATGCGCCGAATAGAACTATATATTTTTCGCGTATCAGCACAGAAAACCTACCCCCGTAGAACACCATCCCATAACACGTGCAAAATTAATAGTACATCAGGCATAAATTATAGTCCTCCTGGTCAAGCCGACATTGGAATGACAAAAACTCTAAATCAAATCGTGCGAGCTGGAATTGCTATAGTTGACAACTAACCCACTGATGCATTATTTGTTTTGATGTCAATTTTCTTACTATTTTTTCATCAGTGAGTTCTGATATGGTAATAATTTCTTGGGAAAATGTTTGGTAGATGATTAGGCCCCTAGGCATGCACTACTTTATCTTCTTGGCAGAAATGCATCGGTGATACCGTGTCCCCGAATGTACAGCCAATCATATTGACGTATTCCAAAGCACTCCGCCACTCTCCCTGTCGTGCTGCGATCGACAGCAGTCACCAGTGTATGTTTATGAGCCTCGCGTATCGAGCTGCTGCTCTCACGTTCATAAAAAAAAAAACGTAAAATTACACCAGTTCATAGTAAGTTCTTTCTGTTTAATATGCCGGGGGGACTAGAGGGTGGAGCCTCGTCGTTAGAAAATTAGGTAAGGTTAGGTAGGTTTCTTTGGTTAGGAAAGTGAGGTATTCTAACAATGCTTCTGCCACTTGTTTTTCAGAACTAAGGTTAGGTTTAATTTAGAAATAACCACTTTTTAACACATTTGCCAAAACTACGAGCATCTACTGTAAAATTACAACGTTTTTAAACTCATTTCCTATGAAAAACAGGCGGCAGGTCAGTCGTCACTATTGACCTCTGGTTTATGTCAAAGTGTGGGTTTCGTGGGTAAATTTAATAATGGGTAATTTGTATAGTTTGAGGTAATTGGTAATGTGTATAGTTTCAAAGTTAGCATGTAGATCGTATAGTTCCAAAGGGTATTATTTTATTTATGTACAACCATCTTATTCGAGGATTTTGGCATTTGTAATCCATAGATCTAATAATTCTATGATTCTTTTTCTTGTACGACACTTTCCTCGTAAATGCCAAATAACGGAGATATTGGATGAGTTTTAATCTATTGTTATCATATACGGGAGTACTTGTCACCTACTCACTTTGCTTACAACCGACCCACTTTATCCAAGCGTACTCTCACATCCACAACAAATGTAAAATTACACCATGACACTTCAACAAAGTTGCTTTCGTTGGTACCAGAAATAAAAATAAGTAATTTCTCTTTAATATGGCAGAGGGATAGGCCCCCCCCCCCCCTGTCTAGGAAGTCAGGTAAGGTTAGGTAGGTTTCTTTGGTTGGTTAGGTCAGGTTCTGTTAGGTTCATTATTATTCACTTGTGACGAAAGTTAGTCAAAGTGATGAGATATATCTATTGCATGTGTTAAAAATCCCAGACTTCATGGTTGTACGAAACTAAAATTTTAACTTTTATAAGACACTAGTAATTTGTATAGTTTCTAAGATACCAGGTAATTTGTATAGTTTCTAAGATATACCTAGTAATTTGTATAGTTTCTAAGATATCGGGCAATTTATATATTTTCTAAGATCAGAGGTAATGTGTACGTGTGCTGACACGTATATATACACTTCAGGAAGGTGGTGTGGTGGCTCAGTGGCAAGGTACTCGTTGTGGACGACGGAGGCCTCAGGTTCGACTCCCGGCCTGACTCGAGTCTCAAGACGTGTTAAACTGGACGAGGCACGGAGAGGCATGATTCTCAAAGGTTAGTTGAGAAACCTATATTTTACCTTAATTATTGTTACAGGTGAGGGGGGATTACCTGGATGTGTTCGGTGGAATTATTACAAGAAATAGATAAACGTATATTAATATTGTGGTTTATTGCGGATAGTAATGGTTAAATTGAGGGTAGGAGCCAGGGGAAGGTAGAAACTGAGATGGATGCCATAATTAGGGATGGCGGGATAATGGTAGAGATATTAATGGGTTTCACAGTATATGGGAGGGATTTCACGGTGTATGGGAGGATTTTCACTGTGTATGGGAGGGATTTCACGGTGTATGGGAGGATTTTCACGGTGTATGGGAGGATTTTCACGGTGTATGGGAGGATTTTCACGGAATATGGGAGGGATTCATGGTATACTGGAGTGTTTCATGGTATACTGGAGTGTTTCATGGTATACGGGAGTGTTTCATGGTGTACGGGAGTGTTTCGTGGTATACGAGAGTGTTTCGTGGTATACGAGAGTGTTTCATGGTGTACGGGAGTGTTTCATGGTGTACGGGAGTGTTTCATGGTGTACGGGAGTGTTTCATGGTGTACGGGAGTGTTTCATGGTGTACGGGAGTGTTTCATGGTATACGGGAGTGTTTCATGGTGTACGGGAGTGTTTCATGGTGTACGGGAGTGTTTCATGGTGTGTGAGATGGTTGGGCAGAGTACCCACACTTAAATTACTGAAACAATAAGTAAGGGGACATATTTGGAGATGTCAAAATAGTCAGTCTAATGTTATGATGTATTATGAGTAAGAGGAACTCTGAGGTCTTGGCTTTATGTGAAGCAAAAAGTTTAAGGACTGAGGAGAGGTAAGCTGGGGACAGGTGAAGGAAGTAAAGTCAAGAAAGTATATCAGTAACGAGGAGTGAAAGTATATGAATGATTAAATCTGGAGTTGTCTTAAAATGAGGAGTATTCCCGAAGTATTATGGAATATACTAAAAAAAAATAAGATGTGAGAGGTGGGTGTTCTTGTGTGCATTAAACAGTGAGTGAGGAGGAAAGATCTGGTGGGAAGATATTATTAACTGTCTTTGTGAGATTATAATGGTTTTGAAAGTTGATGATATAGGTTGGAACTGTATGGGGATGTGTTAAGAGGTTGATGATGAGAGATAGAAGTACACAGAAGATATATAGAGAAGAGAGATGGATGTTACCGTGTTGGTGGGCAGAATATTGGAGTAAAAAATGGATCATGTGGACGTACTAAGAGGAACTGAAGTGTTTGGCCCGTGTCTGAACATTGTTAGTTAGTGAGAATATTTTTGAAGGGAAGTACGAGTGTGTGATACAGAGAAGGAGTTTGTGTGAGAGATTTAATGAGGTGGTGACAAGTGAGGGTGATGGAGAGAGGTTGGTGTATGAGAGAGAGGAGGACTTGGTGTGTTGTGTAGGAGTGAAGGGAGGACTTAGTGTGTGGTGTAGGAGTGAAGGGAGGACTTAGTGTGTGGTGTAGGAGTGAAGGGAGGACTTGATGTGTGGTGTAGGAGTGAAGGGAGGACTTGGTGTGTGGTGTAGGAGTGAAGGGAGGACTTAGTGTGTTGTGAAGGGAGGACTTGGTGTGTTCTGTAGGAGTGAAGGAGGGACTTGATGTGTGGTGTAGGAGTGAAGGAAGGACTTGGTGTGTGGTGTATGAGTGAGAGGAGGACTTGGTGTGTGGTGTAGGAGTGAAGGAATGACTTAGTGTGTTGTGAAGGAGGGACTTGGTGTGTGGTGTAGGAGTGAAGGAAGGACTTAGTGTGTTGTGTAGGAGTGAAGGATGGACTTGGTGTGTTGTGTAGGAGTGAAGGAAGGACTTGGTGTGTTGTGTAGGAGTGAAGGAAGGACTTGGTGTAGGAGTAAGGGAAAGACTTTATTGCGGTGCTAAGGAGTGTAATATGGGAGGTGCAGTACATTAGGACAGTTTCCCCTCATACAACTGTTACTTGAATACCGTTTTCTCTGGTTCCATTTTACAAAGTTTACGGGAATGGACGAGTTGGCGGTTCTGGGTAAACACAAGAAATATACTCTACCACGTTCGTAGAGTGATATGGTATATATAATTTGTAATGAAAGTTTAAAGTCCTGCTATAATAGTAGAGCTAAGTTTATTTCTCCAGAAACAGGGCCGCCATTTGCAATGACGTTACTACCTACCCTGCAGACGAGCCAATTTAGAAGTAATGACAGTGTCTGGACTTTGTTTTGATAATGCCTGATGTTAAGTAAACATGACAACATAGTGCAGTTATTGGTTTGATGATTCACTAATGAACCACTGGGATATATCATGATTTACATTAATTAATGGGTAAGATTTTACTTTAACTACCATAAGTATTTGGATGCTTAGATCGAGATAGGTTATATTGGGTAAATGTTAAGTTTTGGTCATCCCTGTACTTAGACATGTAGACTGTTTTCTGATGGTTTGCGATGTGTTATGAACGATTTAGACCTTCATTCTATCGGAAATCACTAGTTTTGAGTTACTACCCCCTACCGAGGTATGTTAAGCTAACCTTATAACTCATCATACCCTAACCTAACCTAACCTAACATGACCTGTATTTGCGACAGAAATCCGGTAGAGATAATTTGTCTTATTGTTTAAAGTACTTAATCCCATAGTTAGAATCTGAGGGTTCCCCAGATGAACCAAACCAAATAATACTAATATTGTTTGGAATGTTTATACTATGAAATTTGTTGTATGGGCAGCTAATATCCATTGAATTAGTTAATGTGCTTAGTAATGTTTATATATTCAATATAGTATTACTGTGTTGCATAGTAAAGCACAAATAATTATCTAATAATATTTATTTACGGAGCCGATCAGCCGAGAAGGTTGGACAACTGCTTCCAGGGTTCATCAAGGCAGAGGAAAGAAATTTACCCAAAGTAGATGTGTTTATGATAGTAGAGTATTACCAAGAACTCCGCCATCCATCTATGAAGCACGTTAAATTACATCTGTCATCTGATAATCTCAAGCCCATCCCCTGGTCGTCCTTAGTCCTTCCACAGCATTAAATATAAACATCAGTGACGAAAACTTACATTTCCAGACATGAAATAGAGAACAGTGATGAAAACTTCCATGTTGCATCATTTAGGCACCCAGCAAGTAAATACACACGGTGATACTTGAGTAGTAATTTATTTTAACCTAAAAGTAAGGTGTGCCTGTGTATATCAACATTGTATATGGCCACAAATTCTGTATTTCTGCTGGCAACAACACACACACACACACACACACACACACACACACTCTACAGCTGGCTGGCTCGAGGCTTCCGCACTGCGTCTCGCACTAGTCAGTGACGTCACTTTTCCCAGTCACTTGACTTTTTAGCAACTTTAACCCTTATACTTTCCACTTTTTGGCCCAATTTATTTAAGAATATCATTACCATAGTGAATTTAAGCGTTTTCTTTACCCATTGACCTGCCATCTTACGAAAAAATTCCGACCGACAACTTGTCCATTGCTGGTCATCGTTGTAATCTCATCCCCAAAAAGTTTACAACCAACAGTATTCTGAATTTGTGGTTTCTTCAACCTTTAGCTTTGGCCCCTCGCTATAGTACTGTACCTCTTACACCATGAATGACAGAAGAATACCAACCCTGGATGGACCCCAACTTTCACCTTAAATTCCTCAATACCCGCGCCATTTACTGTTAAACTGGTTCTTGGGCCCCACGACAGTGGCAACCACTGTCACCCTCACACCTTGTATTTTTTTTAGAATCTTAATGCATATCGTCTTCTATGTTCGTTTACATCCGTAGTACGTAACCTTTCTATAATAAACGAATACATTTCAATCATTCACACATCCTCACATTTAAGCCATCAGTACGCTAAACATCTACAGCCACATTCACGGCCAACCTACATGCATAAGTCATTCAAGTTAGCCCTCACATTTTCTTCGTTTTCTTTTAGTCCTCTCCACATTTTCCTAGACTTATGACTAACTAAAATAAAACCAACTTTCCATCACTGGCAATGTCTAGGTTTTCAAAAGTTCTTTATATTTGTTAACTGAACTTAAGGTTTGAGGAAATATATAACTGGTTCACTCGATCTACATCTGCTGAGGAAACTAAACCTGCCTCTTGTGCGAAATTTACTGTTTAAACCACCTATGTTCGTTCCCCCTACAGTCAGACAGTTAATTGTATTTTCAACAGTTCGGCACAACGTAAAATCCACAGAGAATACAACCCATCTCCTGTTGTGCATTCTAAGACCTTCATTGCAGTTCCTTGACCGTTTGTTATCTATTATTCGAGTACTTGGCCAATACCTGCTTAGTGTAGTTTAGCCATGCTGTGAAACGGACGCATCTGAATTAAACCAAAAAAATCTATATAATATTTAACCGATACAAAACGAAATAATTTTCTACTACACCTCTATAGAATAAATTCAACCAATAGACACCGAGCATCCTCACTCAGTTTGAAGTTCCACTGGTAGACATACTTACAATGCTGCCGAGATTATGTAACCCCTTTATTTGTTGTCATCCACACTGAGTTCCCATTCAGTGTTGTGGGAAGACATAAGAATATAACCGGTTACAGTAAAACGTAAAATAGGTTTGTTTGTAATATATCATGATACATTATTCATATTAACGATACAAATATTACTCTTTATTATTATAGTTAGGTACAGTATGTAGTATTTCTCATATACTAAATCTTTATATAGAAACTTTTGCTTTTATTAAGATCAGGTATATAACGTCTGTATTAATTAGAAACGTGTGTGTGTGTGTGTGTGTGTGTGTGTCACTCTGGATATTGGTTAATCATATGCAGACCATAAAACTTGGAGAAGAACACACACACACACACACACACACGTAAATTTAAGTTATATTAAAAACAACATACGACGTGAAGCTCAGGTCGTAGTTATCGATTGTATTTATCAATTTTACACAAAAACACGACCACAAAAAACCATCTTCAGTTAATGACAATATAATAACAACATTCGACAAATTTTTCCAGTTTCAGAAAGGAAATTTTTCAATCTCTTTACGTGGACAAAGTTGGTAGGCCAATTTTCCTGTTTCAAGAAGAGAAGGTTATCATTGTCTTTATGCCGTCTGCTGTAGCTGATGTTAATAGGGAAGACGTATGTTTAGGGTGGTGGTGGGAGGAGGGAGGGTAATTGATGGGGACGGGGGTGGTGTGGGGGGCAGGGGCGTGATGTGGACAGAAGGATTGGTGATGGGGGACGGGGTGGTTGTGGGGAAGGCTTTTGGTAGGGAGCAGGGGGTTATAGTGGGGACTGGGTGGTGATGGGTGGTTGGGTGGCTGATAGAGAGGGGGCAGGTTATTGGTGACCTTGGAAGTGAGGGAATTCACACTGACCGTTCACATCTACCCCAAAAAAAACAGATGGAATACAACGGAAGTAGAATCATTTTGGAAATTTACTTATGTCATGTTTCATTTTGGAAATTTACTTATGTCATGTTTAAACTGCACCAGAAAACATGATAGACTCTCAAGATTTTTTCAACATTGTTTAGGGTTCTTCCTCTTTAAACTCGTTTTAGAAGGTTACAAGACACCAGGCCACGAGAGACGAGACTTCATTTGGTCCAGGTCCATTGTTCTTCGTATGATCCACTTCCATAGTTCTCGGTATGGTCCACAGTTCTTGGTATGGCCCAGGTCCACAGTTCTTAGTATGGTCCAAGTCTTCAGTTCTTAGTATGTTCCACAGTTCTTAGTATGGTTAACAGTTCTTAGTATGGTTAACAGTTCTTAGTATGGTCCACAGTTCTTAGTATGGTCCAAGTCTACAGTTCTTGGTATGGTCCACAGTTCTTAGTATGGTCCACAGTTCTTAGTATGGTCCACAGTTCTTAGTATGGTCCACAGTTCTTAGTATGGTTCACAGTTTTTCGTATGGTCCACAGTTCTTCGTATGGTCCAGGTCCACAGTTCTAGTAGTAGGAACTATGGGTGAGGAAGAGTAACTGCCTACTTTCCTCAAGCGAGAGTTATACAATAGGCATTTCAGTACCCTCGTATGTATCCTTCCCCCTGGCCTCGTCGTCGATGGTGGGCCTCTGAAACGACGAAAATCTGCCATTAGTACAAGACAAAGGTGTAGTGCAGGGTAGTGGTGTGTGCGATATGGTACACCACCTATCAGCCAACAAGAATTATGTCAACAAACTCACTAGAATGTGTATGACTCAACTGGACGTGTATGACTCACCTGGACGTGTATGACTCACCTGGATGTGTATGACTCACCTGGACGTGTATGACTCACCTGGACGTGTATAACTCACCTGGACGTGTATGACTCACCTGGACGTGTATGACTCACCTGGACGTGTATGACTCACCTGGACGTGTATGACTCACCTGGACGTGTATGACTCACCTGGACGTAAAGCATGAGGTGTTGTTCAGGGAAGGAAGGGGAGGCAACACGCAGTGAGGTGGGCCCCAGTGACGTAGCCAGAGCCAGGAAGATAATGGAGGATAGAACGAACGGCATCGTGAACACTGGCAGCTGTGTCTGTGGTAGAAGAACAACTGGTGAACATTAGCAGCTGTGTCTGTGGTAAAAGAACAGCTGGTGAACATTAGCAGCTGTGTCTGTGGTAAAAGAACAGCTGGTGAACATTAGCAGCTGTGTCTGTGGTAAAAGAACAGCTGGTGAACATTAGCAGCTGTGTTTGTGGTACAAGAACAACTGGTGAACATTAGCAGCTGTGTCTGTGGTAAAAGAACAGCTGGTGAACATTAGCAGCTGTGTTTGTGGTAGAAGAACAACTGGTGAACATTAGCAGCTGTGTTTGTGGTAAAAGAACAGCTGGTGAACATTAGCAGCTGTGTCTGGTAAAAGAACAGCTGGAACATTAGAACATTAGCAGCTGTGTCTGGTAAAAGAACAGCTTGTGAACATTAGCAGCTGTGTTTGTGGTAGAAGAACAGCTTGTGAACATTAGCAGCTGTGTCTGGTAAAAGAACAACTGGTGAACATTAGCAGCTGTGTTTGTGGTAAAAGAACAGCTGGTGAACATTAGCAGCTGTGTCTGGTAAAAGAACAGCTGGTGAACATTAGCAGCTGTGTCTGTGGTAAAAGAACAACTGGTGAACATTAGCAGCTGTGTTTGTGGTAAAAGAACAGCTGGTGAACATTAGCAGCTGTGTCTGGTAAAAGAACAGCTGGTGAACATTAGCAGCTGTGTTTGTGGTAGAAGAACAGCTTGTGAACATTAGCAGCTGTGTCTGGTAAAAGAACAGCTGGTGAACATTAGCAGCTGTGTTTGTGGTAAAAGAACAGCTGGTGAACATTAGCAGCTGTGTTTGTGGTAGAAGAACAGCTTGTGAACATTAGCAGGTGATTTTGAGGTAATGATGAACAATGGCAGATGTTTCTATGGCTAAAAAACAGTTGTTGACTACAGACAGGTGGCTCTTTGGTAAGGAACTGCTGGTGAAACACTGGCACACACAGCCGAGCTCATACTCACACAGCCGAGCTCATACTCACACAGCCGAGCTCATACTCACACAGCCGAGCTCATACTCGCACAACCGAGATCATATTCACACAGCCGAGCTCATACTCACACAGCCGAGCTCATACTCACACAGCCGAGCTCATACTCGCACAGCCGAGATCATATTCACGCAAACGAGCTCATATTCCACAGCAGACGCAGCTCCGGCAGGTATAAACTCAAAAAAGTTACTCACGAGGGAGAAGACTGGGGCGAGAGTTGCCTGGAGGAAGGTGGTGAAGACGACGTTGATAAGGGCGAGGAGGAGCGTCCTGGGGGTGATCACCATGAAGAACGCGATGGAACCAGCAGACAGAAACCCGTTGTATCCCCACACGCCCGCGTACACCAACTCGTACGGCGCCGACGACACTAACAGAGCTGTTGTGGATGAGTGGTTTACTTGTGACGCTCATTATAATATTCCACAGTTGGTGTTGGGTCTCCCTACAACTATTGAATTTATCTATGGAGAAAGAAATTCCATCCAATTTTCTGAAATACGCGAGGAAAGTTTTTTGCCTCTCTTGTTATATTTTTTTTACAAATGTTTCGGCTGCGTTGACACTCGTAAGGATTTAAGATTAAAATTTTCAAGAACACTGAGGATAACTCTTGGGGCTAAGAATGTATCCTAAATAATTTCCAAAGGTTTCAAATCTGATCATATGATTTTGTTCGTGTCAAAATGACCATGAAGCAAACAAATACTCTTTCATAAATCAATTAATAAATACGAGCTGCCCCATCGCGTCCAAAACAGCTGGTGACGTCACAGCTCCACTTTAGATGGACCTAATAACATAACTGATATTTGTCACAACGTGCAGGACTCAGGTGAGACACTGACCAGTAAAGGTAGCGATGGCTCCTCCCGTGTAGGTGACGAGGGTGAGTAGAGGAGAGCAGATGAAGGAGGCCACCACCACCAGGACGGAGCAACACACGTTCTCTACAGCCCACACCTGCCCGGCTGACAGCAGTGTTCCAAGCCACACCTGTCGCCAACAAGGTCATATTTATTTTATTTGAGTAATAGTTGACTTATTAATAGCGTTTGGTCTGTAATAGGACATATGAAACAATTTATATAATATTTCAAACGCCGTCACTGGTATGGTGCAGTATGTTAGAGGGGAGTGAGTCACCAGTGTTCCTGCCATGACACTACTGTCTGGGATAACCAACACCTTCCACACACACACTGGGAGATGGAGGGGTTACAGCACTTGTCTCCTGTACTAAGGGTCGTTGGTTCGATCCTGGGGCACCCCAAGTCCACCCAGCTGTAAATTGGTGGGCAATTTTACTGTTGAGGGAAGTGGAGGCAGTCGAATGAAGTGCCTGCCACGTTGCCTCCTTGCGTGTTGAAGGCTTACTATTCAGTGTGATGTATCCACACTGCCTCTAACGGGTAGTCATGCCTACGGGAGACACTCGTTTTTCAGTGCAATATATTAAAATAGACTACGCACCTAAGACTTCAGTTGTTGAAGTTCACTCCTCCATTATAACATGAACAACAACAACTCTGGGGAGAGCCTCACCCGATTCCACTCCACGTCCGTCACTAGCTGCTGCAGGTTGTCGGTGGTGGCGGGGTTGGCACCGTAGCCCGCCGCCCTCATGCCTATGAAGATCATGGCATTGGCCACGTTGAAGGGTAGGGTGTAGGACGGGATGTTGTGAACACCCAAGATCTTCCCCAGGCCGCCCGACAAACACACGCTGCCCGCGACAAGTTGAATTAATCAGACTAAATTATTTCTTCTATTAGACTGTGTTCTCAAGATATATTTGTAATAATATAAGTAACAATCTTAACTTTTGTGTGTGTGTGTGTGTGTGTGTGTGTGTGTGTGTGTGTGTGTGTGTGCGTGCGTGCGTGCGCGTGCGTATGTGCGTTTTGTGTTAGGGAGAGAAAAAAAGTTACCCATCTCACTAATTTTGGAGATATCCTAAATTCTTCAAATAAATTCTTGCTTTAAGAAAATAGACCAACAGGAGTTATAATTAGGGAAGTTCCAATAACCAAAAAAATGATCCTAACCTCCATCATAACAAACAGACAAAGTTTATGTTGTATCAGAGTCGAGTCATTTCAGTAATGACGGTGATGACAGATTGGTGGAAAGTGAAGTGAAGAGTGAAACGTTAAGACGGTGTAGAGAATCTCAGAACTGACCTGAAGGCTGCAGCGACCACCATGTAGCCCCAGACGGGTGGTGAGAGAGGCTGGTGGAAGAAGATGGGGTAGAGGGCTGGTGTGACGGTGCCCACTAACACGGCGCTGAAGTTTGTTAATCCTGCCTCTATGTTGGGTTCCGGCATGTTCAGCAGCTGTTACAATATTAAGTACATGTAGATGAACACCTAACTTGGTGTACTCTAAGGTACCCAGCAACACCCATCTTACACCTACGTCTTTTTTTTATTGGTAAATTCAATATATTATATCACGTACCCGCAGCTGGATTTCTGTATCGCCTTTGATAAAAACTATAATTAATTTACATATCGCTTCAGCTAGAATAAAGTAGCAGAAACGTCCCCGCAATCATCCATGTAAGATGTCACTATGGCCTATCAGAACTGGCGATCATTATAATTGAAGGAGGACTTCAAACTGTCATGTCATGTCTGGTTAGGATAGGTTTGGATAGGTCAGGTCCGGTTCGGTTCTATCTGGTCTGGGATACAGTTGATTAATTAGTCACTGACACAATGACCTCGGTACTTACGGTGTACGTCCATAAGCAGGATGTTGTGAGCATGACAATTTCAGGGATGGACTGGCATTGTTGCCAATAGTTTATATAAACTGTAGAACCTCCTATCTTTCCCTAAAAAGCTTCCCTAGCGTAGTTATGGAGACGACGCCTCCTACCATGAAACCCCTTCAAGGTAAATACAAAGCTTACCCTACCCTAAATACCCTTTAAGTAGGAAACCCCTTAATCAAACTTTATATCCTACCTTCACAGATACAGTACTCACCTTGGCAACAAACACAGCGACGAGGGAGCACACGACAGCTCCCAGGCCACAACTGACGTCACTCAAGAACAGACCAATCAGGATGAGCAGTCCAGATAGTGGATTGTTTACAAACACAACCTATGAAATGACGTAAGTTTAAATAGTGTCAGCAGCAACGTGGGTAGGAATAAATTCATTTAAAAAAAATAATTTAAAAGGATAACAAAGAAATAGTGATATTAGGTTAATAATAAACAAAGTTTTATTTTGATATCCGTTAATTTTTTCTCGTTTCAATTTACGATGACTAGGATTAAAAGTAGCGGGTATATTATAATTTGTCTGCAAACAGTTATCGATGAATTGTGCCTTTTAATCGCCAGTAATACTTCCTATAAAAGCAAGACAAAAACATCAGGTCTTGGTATTGCAGGTGTCCCTCAGAATCAAGGTTACTGTTAACGTGTTTTTTTTACCTGCATGACTAAACTGTAAAACATTGTAGTCAGTGAAGGTTGGTGCATTAGCAACAGTATCGTAAGTCAAGCATTTTCTCGTAAACCATAGTGATAGTTGATTGAGATTTGTTTATTAAGAAATGTTCGTTCTAACAAACGTTCTAACATGGGAACTATGCAGAATCTGGTATTTTACCATAGAGACATTGTGGTTTAGAATTATCCAAGGAATTCATCCTTCAATTTAATGTACTCTGCTGAATCACGCTGTATAATAGACCTTGGTTGTGCCAAACTTGAGCTGATGGGAGTGGCTATTGTGAATCCAGGTAAAAAAGTCACAGGAAAAATAGTCACAGGAAAAAGTCACCTAACCTAACCCAACTTAACTTAACTTAACTTAACTTAACTTACGTGCATCAATATGTAAAAATCATGTATTGTCAGCTAATGACTGTTTTAAAATATTTTTAGTTTTATTACCTTAATTGTGCCTTTTATTCTCTGACTTTATTACCGTTCACCGCTATTATAACCTTGTTATTCACAGTTCCTCTCTTTCCGAGAAAATACATAAAGCACTCGTAATTCTTGTTGTACTATCGTGGACAAAAGTTCGCTCCCTCCAAAACTGAAGCAGTATCGACCCCAAATGAGACAAAACAGCACACCCGCACACAGTCAGGGTAAGACAGTTCGGAAACTCATTCCTGTGACTCAGTTCCACCACAGGGAGCGAACTTTTGTCCACGATAGTACTTCTGTAGAGGATGAGGAGGCAGTATTATGCTACTAACAAGCATTATACAGCAGGAGTGAGGAAGTAACCACCCTTCACCACCAGCAAACATCTAGAGTCGACATACAGATGGGTGATATACGAGTACTGTACAGTACAGTTGGCGTGAATCATTCTGACCAGACAAATCAAAGTGATTCATTCATAAACAAAATACTACCAATTATCTCGAGGAGATACAGATGTCTCCATCGGCTACAAAGTTTTTCTCTTCCTATGATGCCAACTGTACATAGTGAGGTATCCCTAACCTGACAGTTGTCTTGTCAGTGTTGATCATGGAATAAGCTTATCTTTCTAGGCTGTGTGCACTTATAACACATTCATATATTTGCACATGAATGCAAATAAATACATACGAAAGTATACACTCCTCGCTATAAAGCCACATTTACACCAACACCCACACCTGAGAATTTTCATTAGTGCTACACAAATATTTACATCCATCTCCTATATTATAGGAGACACCATGAGTGAGGTGAGGGAGATAAGGCATGACACACCCACCTGAGCGATGCCCCTCAGCACACTCTCGACGATCTTCAGCACCACCGCGGGAGACTCCCATCTAAACTTGGCCAAGGTGTCTCTGACTGCGGGGGCGTCACCCACTATCCACGCCCACACTCCAGGCTGGCGGAATATACGCCTTGTTCAGTACGTAAATTGAAGATTATGATAATAAATGAAATGTTAATTATCAGCTCCAAGACCTAGGCTATTTGCTAGGATCATCGTAGTGTGTTATAGTGCTACGAGGCTAAGTTTTAGAGCAGAGGTTGGACTAACATTTGTGGCGTGTTGACCAGGAGTGAGGTGTTGAACAAGAGAGGCTGAAGGGGTTGGGTGGGGGGGAGGGGTGGTTTCTGGACATAAGACGACGAAGTGATTGTCGTGGCGGGAGGACACTGGGTATAGCCTCGCTGTGCAGATTGATTATATTATAGACAATCGATAACTACTACTAATACTGCTGCACAAGGTGCCCTTCCCTTTTTCTTTTCTTTTTTTTTTTTTTAGAGAAAGGAAGGGTGAAAGAAGATTAGAGGTGGGGGAAGGAAGTTATAGTTCGGAAATTGAAGAAATTTAGGAGGAGGTAAGAGAGGGCGGGCTGACCGCCTAGCTATGCTAATAGTGTGTTAGGGTTGTGTCATGGGTTAGTTATTGTCTGTCGGTAGAGGCACTAGACATCAATAATAATAATAATAATAATAATAATTAACGGTTTATTGAAAGAGCTTGGCAGCCAGAAGGCTGAAAATATACAGTTACATATTTGGGGAATGGGTTTCGAATTACAAATAATATACAAGTAACATAAGTGATACAAATAAGATATATAATAACTAGATGGGGAAAAGCTCAAACTACAGTGCATTTCAACATAGTGACAGTGCAAGGAGTAGTGTTTACTGGGAATCAATACACTGGTTTATTACAAGTTATTGATAATTTTTACAATGGTTGGGACTGGGCTGTTCTTATAGCGATCAGTTCGTGCACGTATGGGCTGGATGCGGTTGTGGTGTCGAACAGCAATTCTCGGGCTAGGGATCTCAGGTGGTAGTAGGAGCCGGTGTCGAGGATGGTGTAGAAGCTTCTTACCAAATTTGCAGATGAGGTCGTGGTGATGGTCAGTGAGAGTCGAAAGGGTCAGTGTGTTGAGTGCTTCTTGATATGTGGAGTAGGAAGGGGAGAGAATAATCTTGCATGCCCTCTTTTGCAGTTTTTCTAGGTGTTTACGTTGTGTGGCATTTAGGGAGGAAGACCAGGTGGGGGAGGCATTGGTGAGCTTGGGAAGTATGAATGTTGTGTAAACACTGAGAAGCTCGGGTGCAGGAACTCCGAGGGACTTGAGTCGGCGGAGGAGGTGGAAACGGAAACTGGAGGATTTGACAACTTCACTGACGTGTGGTTTCCAATTTAGTTTGTTGTCTATGGTGACGCCGAGGAGCTTCGTGGAATCTACAACCTGGAGTGTGTTCGGACCTAGAGTAATGGAAGGAGGTGGGACAATGTCGAAGGAGAGGTTGATGTGCATAACCATGGTCTTGGTATGGTTGATGGTGACATGGTTGTTGGTGGCCCAGTTTTGGAGACTGTTCAATAAATCCTGAAGGGCGGTATAGTCGGGAGCAGAATTGTTGACGCTGATCCCAATGGTGGAGTCGTCGACATATTTCCAGCGAGCAGGGGTTTCTCTTAGGGCATCATTGATGAGCATAAGGAAGCAGAGTGGTCCCATCTTGGTGCCTTGGGGGACGCCACAGGTGAGTGACTGAAAGGTGGAGACAGCCCCTCGGAAGCGTACAGCTTGACGTCGGTCACTGAGGAAGTCTGTAAGCCATGGTATAAGACTTCTCCGAAGCCCGAGGTCAATAGCTTTGTTGATGATTATATTGTGGTCGACTAGGTCGAATGCTTTAGTGAAATCAATGAAGGCGACAGCTACAGACGTTTTTCGTTTCTCGAGATGGCGGTATATGTAATCGAGAAAGCTGACAAGACAGTGAGTGGTGGAGGAAGTTTTCATGTTGCCAAATTGCTGAGGGTTTACGACTCCTGCAATATCAGCATAAGCCCAGTCGAACACAAAACTTTCACAGATTAGGCTGGGTATTGGGGTGATTGCAATAGGTCGTAGCTGATTTAAGGATTGTGGGCTGGTTGACTTGGGCACTGGTGATACATAAGAGGTCTTCCAGTCAGCTGGGCATCTGGCTTGACTGAGAGAAGCATTGATGATGGAGCATAGGGGTTTAGCAAGCTCCGGGGAGAACTCCTTGAAGAGTTTCATTGGTAAGTCAATGGGGGTGGTAGAGCATTTTAATTTTAGTTTGTCCAGGCGTTTTGCTACTTCAAATTCTTCTACCAAGTCAGTGGGAAGGGGGGCTAGTAGGTAAGCAGGGAGAGTGGTTGTGTCAAGCCGTGGGAGCGTCTGGCATATAGTAGCGAAATGGTTATTTGTTTGCTCAGCTGCGTCAACATTAGTGAGATGGCTAAGGAAGGGGAGGGGGTGTGTCTTATTGTTTAGTCCACAGAGTTCTTTAAGCTTACCATACCATTGACTGATGTTGGTCTGCTTCAGGTGTTGTAATTTGGTTGGGTAGTGGGACTTCTTTGCAGTGCGTATTTCGCGGATGACTCGGTTGCGAAGGGACCTGTAGCGTGTGGTCATTGAGATGAAAGGCTCTGTCTCTCTGTTGCATAAGTCTTTTGATCCGAGGTGTGATCCAGGGCAAGTCAGCTGGGTGAGATCTGACGGACTTCTCGGGGAAGAAGTGGTGGTGAGCTTCCGTGGTGGTGTTGGTATAATTTATCCATTTGGTTTCCACGTCATCCACGCTAAGTACTTCAGTCCAGGGATGGTGAACTATCCACTGCCCGAAGAGGCGCACTGCAGAGTCAGTAATCGGCCTGTAGGTCTTGATGTAGGGTCTCTGTACTTGAGTGGGAGTGGCAGCTGGGGACCAGAGCACTGATAAGTGTGTGCTACACCCGATAGGAGGCATTGGTTGAGGTGGTTGGTACTGGTCCGCTAAGTCAGTTAAGATAAGGTCAAGGGTATTTTGACCGTGTGTGGGGAAGGTCACAACTTGTGATAGTGATAGCTGGTCCTGGATATCAGTGGTGTCAATTTCATTATAATCCCCACATAATACTAACTTGGCACATGGGTACCTAACTTTGAGGTGGTCTGAGGTGGTAATGAGATGATTGATAAGAATGTCTCTGGTGGGTGAGCGAGGCGGATGGTATGCCACACAGATTATGATGGAAGCAGTGTGGCGCTGGTGGCACAACACGTACTCATAATGCTTCCACATCTGCTGGGACTTGAACATCCAGGCGTGACGGGCGTAGGTCATCTTGACAGAAGAGGGCAACGCCCCCTCCGCTTCTATGTGAACGAAGGTGATGAAAGAGTTGATATCCCTCAATATGACACGTTTCAGGCACAATTTGCCAAGCCTCACATATGGCAACGACGCTCGCGGCGGCTGACCTGACTGTAGTTGCCAGCTCGTCGAACTTGTTAGCTAGGGAAGTGACGTTGGATAGCAGTAAAGACGGGAGATCATACCATATCCGTGGAACTTCAGTGTAGTGGTACGGTCTGTCAGGGGTGGGTTTCTCCGGTTTCCAAGTGGAGGTTACGGTTCTAATGGGCTTATGTGTATGACGGCCTTGTCTACGGCTACGCGCGTGGAATATGTTCAGTGACTTGAGTCGCGCGATAACACTGCCATCAGGATAACCGTTCCCACGTTTTAGATGGTACAGAGTGCGTCGGGAGTAAGTGATTGGTGGCCATCTGTTGATATCTGTTGTGGGCGGACGGAAGTGTTTGTCACTGACGGCACTTTGAGGGCCACTGACACTGGTAGACATCTGTTAATATTTGTCAGTCGTAAAGACCGTGGGTCTTTGTCCCTGGTGCTTGGGGTCGCCGACACAGTTTTCACGATATATGTAAACACCGCGGTGGTCCTTGTCACTGGCACTTTAAAGGTGACCGATAAAGTGCCCACTGTCTGACTTTTCCTTGGGGTGCACTATCGGGGCACTGTATGATAATCACTTATGGCACTGATGACTTGAATGTTTTGCTGAGAAAGTCCCGGTCAGGTTAGGTCGGGTCCAGTCACACTGCTGTGCTTTTGTGCTTTTCCTTAAGTGCACTATAGGAACACTGCTCGGTAATCAATCGTTCACTAATCACTAGAATGTTTTACTGAATAGATCCCGGTGTAGTAAGGCTGGTAGGGTGTTGGGATATAGCAGGGGGAGGGGCAGGGCCAAACAGACTCGGCCTGGCTGCTAAAACCGGGAGCGCATTCGGGGCACGTCTTGTCTCACTGACGGGTGACAAGTGTGTCAACCCATGTGTGTGGTGTTTTAAGGGCCTTATTTAATATTCCATCCATTCTCTCTATGTGTGTGAGAGGGGAGGGGACTGGCCATGATACCCGCATGGACGACAGTAGACTGCCAAATCAGCTACTGTTACTTAACGCAAAGCTGGCAGGTAACGGAAAAGAGTAGAAGGATAGTCCTTATACAAACCTGAAAAAGTGCCAAATCGACCCCCTCACCTGGGACACGAATATTCCACACCGTAACACCCGGAGGAGCACCACACAAGTCAACACTTCGAGTTAGCCCGACTGCATACCGAGGTAGACAAGCACCAGGGCCGGAAAGACGCTGCCGCCGCCCCTCCCTCACCAGATGTAGCCCTCCACACGTGCAACATCTGTGGACGACCCTGCTGATCCCGTATCGGCCTCTTTAGTCACCTCAAGGCTCACCAACCTAGGTGACATCCTTAATAACTTATATCATTGTATCATAGCTGGATGATCGTCATACTCGATTCTGAGTGACAGCAAAGTAGTAGTGTGTGTAAATAAACACCATAGTCATGTTAAAGAGTAGATGACAATCACACCATCGCATTCTCTCTCTCACAGTCACAGGAACTGTCTCATACAACCACAGGTATACCAAAGGACACTATGGGATGGTTTGCCAGAGAGAGAGAGAGAGAGAGAGAGAGAGAGAGAGAGAGAGAGAGAGAGACCCTTTCATCACGTCTTGGTAGTTAATGCCGAAAATCACACAGGAAAAAAAAAAGATAATATAAAAAAATGAGTAAAAATGAAGAAAATAACCAAAAGAAAAGAAAAGCAACTCCTATAGTGTCGAATTTAATGAAAGAAATCTACTAAGAAATACCTGAATTCTAATTATAAAGCAATGATAGAATAAACACTTTTCGGTAATGACATGTTAGGTAAATTAATAACTTTAAAAGGTATATATCCGGGTTTCATGGCTGTGATGAAGCTAATTTTAGCCTAGGCTGTATAAGGTATGTATGAAGTAAGAGTGAATTGACGTGTGGATATATTTCATAATAGAAGGAGTACTTGCTAGAATGTATGTATACCGTGTGCTCTGAACTTTCACTGCATATTGATAGAACTGTATCAAGGGTTGTGTTTTGTGTTTACCCGAGCCAATATAAGATCAGTTCAGATTTTCCTGTCTGATATCTTAAGCCTGTGGTAAAAGGGGACGACGCCGCAGTGAATCAGTAGAGCAGTGATTGCCTCAGTGAATCAGTCTAGCAGTGATCGCCTCAGTGAATCAGTCTAGCAGTGATCGCCTCAGTGAATCAGTCTAGCAGTGATTGCCTCAGTGAATCAGTCTAGCAGTGATCGCCTCAGTGAATCAGTCTAGCAGTGATATTTTTCCAGTATATTTCTGATCTTTATGTTTAGTAAAAGATATATAAGAAACCTAATGATGCAGGTAAAGGATAGTACACATTACCATATGAAGGTAATAACGTGGATAACTCCTTTATTTATTGTTATTTATATTTTGTATTATTTCCTTGAGATAAAAGTAAATTGATGTTTTTTTTATATGTTTTATATATACGTAATGTAATTTATTCTATATTACGATATGGATTAATGATTTTGTTATTGTTTTTGTACTAAGTAGAATGTTGCTTTCCATAACAGTGTATTGAGGTTATGATAAATAAAAGGTTACAGAATAGTTTTAATACTTGCAGGAGACTTATTCCCGGCCGTCCTAACCTTTCTCCTCTGACTGCCAGTGTCCACGACAACTTGTACTAATTTCCATGACCGAAATTACCCTGGCAGGCCTTGGGAGTGGCAACAACATCCAACCAAGGTAATCTAATCATACTATAGTAGTTTTAACGTAATACTACCATAATCCCATACTGAAATTTCAGTTCCTAGAGTTATAAATAATTAGCAAGGCGTGTGTGTGTCAATCTCCGATCAACTTACCGGATTCTGGACAAAGTTCATCACAATGGTAGTCAGGGCGGGTTATGTCCTAAACAGTCCTTCGGTATGGGTGAGCCACGGTCACTGGCTGAACACTGGACCACCCACTTCACTGTTGTCTCCACTTAATGAGTCGCAAGTTAGTTGCTTTTGCCAGGAGTGTTCACGAGGCGAGGCACCAGTGTCTATGGCAGAGCCCTCCGTGTTGGGTGGACTAGCAGGGAAGTGGTGGAGTGGCTCACACCCCTCCTTCTCATTGCGCATGCGCATGTTCCCCTCCACATTATAGGCTTCATTATGATGCTGCTCTATAAGAATTTCAATTCAGTGGAGGAACGTGATGAATAGAAAAAGATTTACGTAAGTGACCCCTTACGTGTTGTTTGTGTTACACACTCGCTGTCTAGAATTATATAGTTTAAAGGTATGTCCTGCACTTAAGGTAACTGTGTAAATAACACCAAAGTCATAAAAACTTGTGACGCAACATAAAAGAGGAGAGTCACGAGCAGGTGATCCATCTCGAACAATGAAAATGTTGTGGGCACCTCAGAGGACAGTAATACAAATGTTCGGTAATTAGAAGGAATTATGATATAAAGAGTTCTAGTATTGGGAATATGTTACTTTAGTTCCAGAGGAGGTTGCTGAGATTAATACCTAAGCTCTTGTGATACTGACGGAGCGTGGGGGTTGAATATGATTGTGTTTGTGCTGTAGACTCAGATCAGATTGTCACGTGCCAGGTGTGTTGTAGAGTGTGCATTTGGAATTTGTACAAGTAAATGGAGAATTTTAAATAAAGCACTTGAAACAAAGGTCGATACTGCTGTTGATATTGTAAAGTGTGCTACAATTTTCCATTTCATCATCATTGAAACAGAGCGTCTGGAGGCAGTCATGTGCAATTCATGAATGTACAGTTGCAAATAACACAGCGCCCTCTACAATAAGCAATGCTTCACATTCTTCTGCAAAGAATAAGAGACATTTTTCAGCTACTTTAATAGTCCACAAGACTTATATATTGGCAAGATCAAGCTGTAAATAGTGTAAAATAAATGCATAACCTTTTTTAGTTTTGGTGTAGAATGCGCGGACTCGCGTGACTGATGAAGCGGCGATCAAAACATTTGATTGCTGCTTCCAGGTCGCCCGTCTAGTTCCCTCTTCCTGGTCGCTCGCGAACTCTTCGCGGTCGCTCGATGCCGCAGGACGCTCGCACATGGGACGTAGCCTAAGGGCCGCTCGTACAACGCACGTAGACCCACTGTTGGTGTGTTAGTTGGGTCACATTTCTTCCTCCAAACTGTGCACCACTCCCACATCTAATACTCTTCAACATTGTCCCACTGTCAGGGACCTGCCTTAGGGAGAGTCACTGATCACATTGTCACCATTTACTTGTACCTCATAACCTAGATGTACAGTACAGTACATTAGGTAACTGCCTACACTTTGGTGGTGCTGGTGAGGTACTCTTATCCCTTAAATTGTACCTCCAGTTTACCTCCATTTTGGAATTTTTTTGCTAACTGAATGATAATAATTACAGTGTAATCGCTCATAGGAGCGATTTTGGCTTGTGCAGGACAATAAGACCCTTGTCGTTGGCGCGTTGAGTATAATTCGGTCAAAACCTGTTGAATGCATTTCACATATAACAACTGCTGATACATCAGGACACACAGTTTGAATAATGTGATCAATATACAGTACATAAATACACTTATTGAAGTTATTTAGAGTTCTCAGAGGATTCAACAGTTCACAATCACACTCACGTTTACGAGTCTAACGTGAGACCAACGAGAACAAATATAATGTCCTGCAGGAAGATGTTGGCTGACGAGAATCAAGATGTTGCCTCTACAGTAGAAGGCGATAGTCTGCCCTCAGGCTCTCACACAGCTGCTACCAGCTCCATCTCGCTTCGTAAACTATTCTCCTCGCTTAAAGTGTGGCCGGCGCTTATAATTGTGCGTGGCGATAACATACAGTGTGGTCTTCTTACATTGTGATAGATCTCATGTTTTCTGGGGAGTCTGCCGCCCTACTAAGAATCAGAGTTACCCGTATAGCCCAAATTTTAACTTCGTTTTCTGTAAAGTTAAAGGAAGAAAATGAACTACATTATCCATTTAAGACTTAACTATTGTATGTCAACTGTCAAATAAGTGTACTAGGCAAGTGTAATACTGTACTTGGTGGACGACGGTCTATTGCCTGTATAAACACAAACACTTGTAGATTGAAAACAGGGTCGTCCGTCGTACTCTTCCCAACTCTACTGAAAGAGCAATAGTTTTAGTATCTTATAAATTCCATTTTCAAGAAATATTTTATATCCAGTATACTGTAAACCCTTTCCGAAGGACCCCTAGTATTTGGCTGGATAAGTGTCTCCACCTTAGTCAGGAGGCAATGCGAGTCACGTGATAATAAGTTGGTCAGCCGCAACACCAGTGACACCGTGCTATGAGAAAGCCGTGACTGATAGGTAGACTGGCTGATATATTCCGTAAAATGTTCAAACAAGTTTTCATCGACTCAGCAGAAGCATTGGCGGTTTAGGCATAACAAACAATGATTTATGTTGTGAATGGAGCTTCCTATACCCAATGAGCCCCACACAGTCACCCTTGTCGCCTTATTCAACGTTCAATTGTACCTCAATCATTCAGGATAAGGATAAACTATAAGATTTACTGTAAAGTGAAGTATCTCTCTTCTTATAATATTCACAGGTACAAGGATACATGAGACTAGTGGTTCCTTAAACATGATCTACAGTACACAAGACAAACCCTACTTGATCAACATATACTTGGCCTTGATGTGGCTATGTAACTAAATACCTTAACACGAACATTACCTGATGGAGGGATTAGGTTAGGCTTAGGTTAGCTTAGCTTAGGTTAGGTTAAGTTAGGGTGGTTCATCCTAAGGTAAAATAATCTGGGGGGGACCAATCTTCAGGTGATCCATGATATATTTTAACTGGCCAAGCGTTACAACCGGAGCCCTACAATATTTCCGGGTAAAACACAATTAAAAAAAAAATTAAAATTACATAATTCATAGCCTACTCGAATACACAAATACATACATTATAATACATACAATATATACATATAATATTATACATATGTAAGTACATATAACGATTATTAATAACAAAACAAATGGGAATGAATGATAGTGAATAATAATCACCAAAGGAAATGAACCCTGAAACTCCTGTTGTATTTATACATTAATGTGTGTGTTGTGTGTGTGTAATAATAATAATAATAATAATAATAATAATAATAATAATAAACGGTCTATTGAAAAAGTTTGCAGCCCGAAGGCTGAAAATATACATTGGACATAAACGACTTATTACATACATTGGTGGTTTAACAAAAGCCTTCATTAGAGAAAGGTGAAGGAACATACAGTGAACATACAGATTAATGTTTACACACGTAGATCATGTGAGCTGAGGTGTTGAACAGCAGACACGTAGTGTGGTAACTCCCTCACAGATGGTGTTATGAGGGGCATCACGTGGAGTACTAGTTCCCTCACAAGTGGTGTTGTGAGGGGCTTGACGTGGTGTAGTAATTCCCTCACAGATGGTGTATGAGGGGCCTGATGTGGTGTAGTAATTCCCTCACAGATGGTGTATGAGGGGCCTGATGTGGTGTAGTAATTCCCTCACAGATGGTGTTATGAGGGGCATCACATGATGCTGTAGCAACTCATTCACTACGTGTTGTCGTAGCATCATGGGGACACCACGAGGTCTGTGTGTGTGTGCACGCGCGTGTGTGTATGCGTGTGTGTGTGCGTGTGTGTGTGTGTGTGTGTGTGTGTGTGTGTGTGTGTGTGTGTGTGTGTGTGTGTGTGTGTGTGTGTGTGTGTGTGTGTGTGTGTGTGTGTGTGTGTGTGTGTGTGTGTGTGTGTGTGTGTGTGTGTGTGTGTGTGTGTGTGTGTGTGTGTGTGTGTGTGTGTGTGTGTGTGTGTGTGTGTGTGTGTGTGTGGGTGCGTGTGTGTGTGTGTGGGGTTAAGATATAAAACACACAAGTGATCAGCTCCTCCTCTATGTTAACTTCTATTTTCCTTCAATAACTGAGGTGTTATTCCGTCACAAATAATGAAGATAAAACTACTCGCTTCATCTAACCTAAGCCTAACCTAACCTAGCCTAACCTAACTTAAGCTTGTATGGTTAAGAGTAGGTTGAGGTTAAAGTTGAGGGTAGATTAAGATGAGGTTAAGGGTTGGGTTGGGTGTCAATAGTGCCATAACAGAGTGCCGGAGAGGGTTCAGGCGATGGCACAGTCCTCGATAGCGTTGCCAGGGCGGAAGAGTCTGCGGTGCATCTCGGGAAAGGTCAGGTAGATAAGGTCGACTCGCTTGAGCTGACCTCCGCGGATTCTGGCGTGAAGCAATATTAATGTGGCGACCACGTGTGGCGTTGTCAACACTGGCATTGAACTCTGAGGGAAACAAAGAGCGAGAGAGTGTGTGAGTGAGAGTGTTAAAGAGAGAGAGCGAGAGAGTGTGTGAGTGAGAGTGTTAAAGAGAGAGAGCGAGAGAGTGTGTGGGTGAGAGTGTTAAAGAGAGAGAGCGAGAGAGTGTGTGGGTGAGAGTGTTAAAGAGAGAGAGCGAGAGAGTGTGTGAGAGAGAGCGTTAAAGAGAGAGAGAGCGAGAGAGTGTGTGAGTGAGTGTTAAAGAGAGAGAAATAGAAAGAGGTTATTATTACTACTATTATTATTACTATTACGACGACTATCATCATTAATATAAACGTTATTATTATTATTATCAATATTATTTAAGCGCTTCTCACCTCATCCAAAAACTCACATACAAACGAACGAATCTTAAGAGAGAACCGAGATATTTTACCGCAAATTTTCAACAAGTATATATATTTGATAAAGGCTTGAGGGGTTGAATACCACAGTTAACATAAAGGCAAGTACCTAACCTAACCTAACCTAACGTAAAGGCAAATAAGCCAACCTAAACTAACCTAACTTAACCTAACTTATCTAACTTAACCTAACTTACCTAAGCTAGACTAGACTGACCTAACCTAACCTTGTGGAGGGTATGGAAGAGGAGGGCGGAGAAGACAGCGCCGCAAGCTGCCGTCAGACTAGAGTAGAAGTTAAGCACGAAGAAGAAACCTCCCAGAGAGAGACCCGTCAGGAGGCTGTGGCAGCCGTACACCCCAGAGTAGACCTCGGAGTACGGCGGCTGTGACACGAACACACCTGTAGGGGCGGATGGGGAGATAACACACCTGTAGGGCAGATGGGGAGGTAAAACACCTGAGGGGCATATGAGTCGCCAATACACCTGTACAACTTAGTGTAGGTGAACACACAACATACTGTAGGTGAACACACAACATACTGTAGGTGAGCACACAACATACTGTAGGTGAACACTGACCACACAGGGCCCCCAGCAGGGTGCCCAGGACGGCTTGGAGGAAGACCACAGGAGAGAAAACCATCATGGCCGCCAGCACCAAGCAGGAGGGAGCCAGGCCACCACACCCGTACACCTGACCAGCTCCCCGCGCCACACCCTGCAGCACCTGTAGCACACATGATACAACACCTGGAACATATACCATTCCCAAGCCTTTTATACGTTACAAATGTGTCATATATTCCCAGTGTTTCACTTGAGGATATAGGAAAATCATGTACAGTATATCATAGGGAAACGTTGGTCATGAATCATGATCATAAACCCTACGTCATCAAGACCAACATGACACTGAGAGAAGAGGTGATATGACACTGAAAAAGACCACCTGACATGACACAGTACATGACACGACATGACACGACACATAGAGAACACATTATACGACACAGTACATGACTGACCATGGACCACTGTATACTCGGGGTGATGGTGGTGTTAGGGAAGGCGACAGTGACTGCTGTAGAGAAGTCATGGTAGCCGAGGCCCTGACACAAGGCAGCCCCCAGCAGGATATAGGACACAGTCAGTCCAGGTAAATTAGTCTGAGACAACCAGGTGGATACAGCGATGCCCAGAATCACGCTGGTGGGGACAGACAGGACACGTTAGGATGACCAGTTATTGTGCATCACTGAATATGTGTGTGGGACAATATTAATCCCTCTCATGTATCATGTTAACCTACCAACAGCCATGTTTAAAGGAGTGTGATATATTGTATTGTATATAATAACGGCAACTTTTTTACAACCATAATAAAGGAGTTTAGAGACAATAAGTTGGTTGAGAGTTAGGGGGATATAATGAGAGAGAGAGAGAGAGAGAGAGAGAGAGACCATTTTTACTTGTAATTGGGAAACAATTCTTCTGACTGGTTCACTAAGATCCTTATGACACTGAACGGACACAGCCGGTACCCTCACCCTACTCATTTGTAAACTACGGCTGATTATACTGCTTCAACTTCAATCTTGATTCAATTACCCCACACACTAACGCAATGTGTAGTGGATGAAGCGTACAGTAGATTAGTAGATATAGTGTAGAGTAGGAGATGTACCGGAGATGGCACTGTAGCGTGGATGATAGTGTAGTCAAGTACATAGGCTATGAAGCCCCTCATGAACAGTGTTACCTAGGATGATGAACGTTACTTTAGATGAGGAGCGTTACTTATGATGGCGAGTGTTACCTATGATGAGTGTTACCAATGGCTACGACTGCTAATCACAGTAGTGAATGACGTGTGCCTGGTGCTGTAAGACTAACCTGATGGCCGCGGTGAGGGTGAGGGCGAGAGCTGCAGCAAACAGTGGGTGTTCAGGGTGGTGGGTCATGGAGTGACCTACCAGGAGACCTAGCAGGAGCCCGTGTTGGGTCACTTGGCCGCTGGAGATAATGTGCTGCGGCTGCCTTAGTACGAGTGCCATCAAGAGGGCCACTAGAATTGCCCCAAGGCTCCAGACAGCCACCAGGGGGGCCTCCAGCAACAGTGCCAAGAGTATGAGAGCGCCACTGAACGGGTTGTTAGCCAACATGGGCGCTCCCAGTGTCCGCAGTAAGGCGTTCACTAGTTTAAGAGGGAGGATGAAGGAGAAAAATGGCCAGCGGTCCAAGAAGTCTGTTATGTACTGAACGTCGCCGACGACCCACTGAGTGATGTAACTGAGGCAGGGAGGAGGTTCATTGTCCACCAAGTCTTCATGAGCCCCTCCGTTAATGTAGGACTCTAAGGAGTCGGTGAACATAGTGTCGTTAATGCTAAGGTCGTAAGTGGACATCTTGCGCACTTTTGGGCGGATATTCATCTCTGTATCGTTGGGAAGGAAGGAGGGTCTACGTGCTGTTTCCCAGGTGGGGACGCTGAGGTGACCCAGCCTCCCGGAGTGGCCGTTGGTACCTTGGCTGGAGTAGGATGCGTTCGTACCACTGCTGATGGTGCTGTCCTCGGGAGCGTCCTCGGGGGCGCTCGTCACGAATATGTGAGGCTGCATCGTTCACCTCGGTGGGCGTCGTAACCAACACACGCCACACCGAATGGGTCAAGATGACTCGTTGTGGAAATTACGGAATCAGTCGTCTAATGTAACATAAGTAAAGAGCTTGGACGAGGAGCTTCTAACGTGAACTATATTGTCAGTAGTTTTCTGATTTACACATAAAGAACACCTTGTGGTCTCATAAGTCATACGCGGCTTTACACAAAACACTTTGGTTTATGTCCTATACTAAAAGATAAATTATTGGAAGGTCTTTTAAAGCAGAGAGTGTTACTTCATATCAACTTGACGAGCAACACGAGACCTTGGTCGTCTACGTAACAGAAGGCATAGATGTTACTCAAGTTCATTTAACGTGTGCTTAAGTTCACTGAAATCTGGTGTAAGAGTAAGATCCTGAGTGAATGACGGAGGACTTAAGCTTGGTATGGTCACTGTGGGCTATGGGGGCTATGCTGGCTGAAGTAACGTTGAGTCGAACCTCTTATATTTCTAAACGTTTTCACTCACAATGAACTGATGCTTTATTGGTATCACTAGTCACGCTTATCGCAGCATAAGGAACTCTTTTTTTTTTTGGTGAAAGTTTGTCTTGGTGATTTGTGGAAGCTCAAGCAGATACCCGTGACGATTAAGAGTTTGGAGGACCAGCATTTGCGTACAATTTATTTCCAATCTGATCGACTCCTAACCCTCCTGTGTGGTCTAGAGGCACAGGGATGAGCAACAGCCTACACCCCGTCAGGCCAGCGACTGACGTGTGGCGGGAGCTTCACGTCAACTTATAAGTCTACTTAGGCGTGCGTGTTGGCCCTGACTAAATCCTTATCATTATGCACCCTCACTTCGTCATCAATCACATTATTTTATGTCATGGTATTAATAACATATTTCCTATTTTGTTTCCTTGAGACACAAGACTCTTGCCAATATCTGTGACGGTAGTGAAGTGTCTCTGGCCACGAGAATCAAACATATACTGTATGTTCCAGGATGGGAAGAGGAGCTTCCTGGCTCATATCGATTCTTGGTTAGGAGATTTTGATCCTCTTGACATCACGCAATGATCGTTGGAGGTTGTCGTGGCAACCGCTCCATAATTATCATTTCATTCTGCTCCCTGCCTATAGATTAATCAGATTTTTTGTAGGATCATTAATTACAAGTGGTAGAGCGTAACAGGTAATTTAGTAAGATCCGGCTGACCAATACTCTGGTCCTGCAAATTGTTTATGTTTTGTGAAGGACGTTGTTGTGTAACATGCACTTCCTTCACGCCGGGAGCAGAGTACCCATGTCCTGCTTCAAGACCTAAGATCGTACTGGTATCACAGTACAGCATTCGAAGATGACATCCGATTTACATGTAGATTTTTTTTAATCAATAAATTCACTTAATTCCAGTTAGAAGAAACAGTTAGCGTACAGATCATTGTGAGGTTATTGTGCGTAAACACTGTCACCTGGCTGGCACTCAGGGAGAGTATTTGTCTATCTGTCTGTACCTCTCTTTCTCATATCCGTTGGGGTTCTATTTGAAGAAGGACCACTATAGGTGTTAAATGACTCTGGAGACGTTATAGATAATATGTAACGGAAAAAGTCCACCTACTTGGCTGGGTGTGTTAACAATGCCGTAAAGTAACAATGGTTGAGGACTATACCGGGTTGTTATCTCACGAAGCTGGATGTAAAGAACACTAATTGAACCAACCTATAAATATTGTGTAACATTCTCAACACGTCACTTTGTATCGGAGAAGTTTTTGATTACAATCTGTATAAATCATTAACTTAATCACTTTCCTCTTCGGTGTTCCCCATAACGATACAGCGCTTAATTACACTGTGCCGGCTTCCTAATTAACCCACATCATCAACTCGGTACTTCACCAAACAAGGAAGATAAATGATTAGACTTAGCTGTGAGACTTGGGGGGTTTAAGGTTCCTTTTTTTTGGGGGGGGGGTGTGGCAAATTTAATTATTCCAGCAGTAAAGGTTTGATGCCTCTGCTGCTTTGGAATTGTCCCTCCACCCTCCCCTATCCTTCCTGATCTGATGATAGACCGTTCGAATCTGTCTCGTAGTGTCAGGACGCTATTCGGTACAGTGTCGATTGGAGTATTGGTATACTTATGTAATTACAACTCCACACTTGATAGAAAAAAATATTCATCTATTTATATGAATATAATGTATAATAACACCCACCAACAACCACCACCACAATCACCACACCACCACCACCACCACAATCACCACACCACCACCACAATCACCATCAGTGTCAGTTTTAAATCCATATGTTTATATTATATAATGTAATAAGGGTAAGGGTGAGAGAGGACTCAATATAAGGCTTATAGTGGACTTGACTATGACATTAAACAGAAGACTGACATGAATAACGTAGACTTGTAAATACTGAGGGCGAGGTGTGTCACTCACTCGAGGAAGGTCAAGTGTTTTATATTTATCACAGAGACTTAGACTAAAACTCCAACCATCAGACACTCCTCCTTCACTAAGTCTCACTCTTATTATCCTCTTCTGTCGTTCCTCTCAAAGGTTTTAATCCCTCTGTGTATATAATTCTTGGTTTCAGATGCTAAGAATTAAAGGAATTGGGAATTATATTAAATTTGTAATGTGTGTGGAGAGAGAGAGAGAGAGAGAGAGAGAGAGAGAGAGAGAGAGAGAGAGAGAGAGAGAGTAGGTGGTAAGGAGAGGGTCTGGTTGTCAGGCACTTTTGGTCTGAATGCCCTCGTAGCATTACGTAAGGGACCTGTAGAGAGTTTGTGTAACGTGACTGATGGACCTTGCTGGGTAGTGTGGCCCACGTCTCGGGTATACCAGCTGTGGGTAGGGTGGTCATGGGCCGCCACACACACACACACACACACACACACACACACCCCTCGTGGGTCAACGGCAGTTCTAGTATAGATTTAGATGTTGTTGAAGCTAAAACTTGCATGTCAGGCTTCAACCATATAACAAGATCAACTTCTCTTAGTTGACCTGAGTTATTTACTGCCCATGACGTTGAAGCTCTGCAGATATTTCTTACGTTTTATATTGATTGAAATATAATAAGTTAAATACTCCACATATTATGTTTATTTTAGATACAGAGATAAGTTAAGACATTCACTCAGTGTTTTCGGTGGTGTTATATGATACGTATAGGGTCGTGTCCACACCCTGCTGCTGCTGCCTCCACAAGCTTCCTACACGACAGATGGAGGCGTGAGTCATACACCCTGGCCGTCCTCACACGCCCTCTCTCTATATATCACGTCCAGTGTGTGTGTGTGTGTGTGTGTGTGTGTGTGGACAACGCACACAAGCACATTTCACCGACAATGTATACACAAACTGTAAGAATAAGTTATAAGGAATCAATTAAAACACCGTTGACCGGATTACATATTTTACTCTGCAGTAAATTGTATGTTGGACTAGATGATAAAAGTATATATGAATATATGTATATTACAATACCTTGAATAGCAGATTAAGGTAAGGTAGACACACACTATCACAGGGAATAATTATAGAAAAAAAATTAAATTTTAAGTATTTCGTAAGTCTCACTAAGTCACACAGTGATGCGTATCCAACATATATTATCCATGATGAAACTCTTGTTTACACACTCCAGTGATGACAGACCGAGTCAGCTGGGTCAGCCGCTCCTCTGTCTCCCACAGTTAATATCTCCGTAAGATATTATCTGCCGCTAAACTGCCTTACACAAATTACAAAGAAAAATTTACAAAATATGAGCGAGGAGAAGCAGAAGAGTAGAACATCTCGTCCACTGCCAACCCTCACCACTACGGATCCAATACTAAAATCACGAAGCTTAATAAGGCCTGTATAGAAATATTTGTAAACATACACAAACTCTAGTGAGATCAAAGGGCGTATATACAAACACACAGTACAAGTTTTATTTATTTTTTTTCTCTCTCACCCACGTCGTCCCTCTTCATTAAAGACAATTTTGTGGTGTACAATCCGCGGGACGTCTAATGGTCTGATGGGCAGGACGTCTTCTGATAGTCCGTGTGACGCCGCCAGCCAGTCACTCACACTGCCTCTAGTTTACCCAAGTCTAAGTATCTTATCGCTGAATATGTGACCTGAAGAACTGATTTTTTCAGAGCGGATGAATGGTTGTAAATACACTGTCAACTGGAGAGAGTTTGGGTGCGAAGTGTTGAACTGTGAGTCATCATCTCTTGTCTCCTTAATGTACACACAATAACAGTGTTCTTTAGGAAAATATTCAGAATAAAATCGTACAATAGGAACGTTTATAACAAATTATCTTAGACAATCAGAGTGCTCGTCTGTTAACTACAGTAAAGCCAACGATGAATTTATAGTCAACCGTCACGTAGTTTGTGAAGCTTTCTGCCTACCACAGAGGACTCTAGAACTTTCCTTGTGTGCCAGAGTAGTTCATCACCAAGTCTTACGAGGAATTGTAGCAATTTCATTAAGGTTTACAGCTTTTGTAAAGTTATATAACCAATGTTCTGTTTCTAGCATAAAGCTAGACCATCTCAAAGGGGTTTGTTTGGAAAGCCAAGCAGATATTTTCATAAAGTGAGACGACCGGATTTCTCTGCCTGCAGGGACGCCGCAGTAAGAGCGAACTGCTGATGATATTTAATAAGTAGTTTTAGTGCTTTTGAAAAGTACCCAACATACTTTGGAAGAAATGGCATTTTGTATGTGGAAAATAGCTATGGAGATATGTGAAAAAGTTGACCTATGAAGCTCACAAAGCAATACGAATATTTGCACCTGAAACATCTTAATCCAAATCATCTTTTTCTTAATTATATAAAACTCCAAATTGTTATTTATGATAAACTATAAATATTAAGCTACCCATGATAAGGATTCATAATCACAGTCTGTAATGTACATGTTTCAAATTAAATAAAAAATAAACTCTGTTAAATCAGGAATGTTTGTGTGTGTTAAATTTCGCTGAGTTAATTTTATTTGTTCCTTGGTCGGTACAATACTTAAAGAGCTTTGTGTCTACAGGAGACGTCTGGTTGTCTCTCTAATACATGACGATGGACCACAAGTGACCTGTACCTACTTCACGTCAGAGTCTATTTATAGTACAGTTGGTCGCCCTCTGTTACCACTCACAGTTAATTGCTTAAGGAGCAATAGACCTCCCTCTTTACAGTTCTCGTCTGCTGGCCATCAGGTAGGCCTACCACGTAACATAATCCTCTCGTTACCAGCCATTCAGACGTAACTTACTGTACCCTTCTCACCCAGTGAATCTTTTCAGACTCGCCTCCTCCTTCACCCCGCCTCATTACCTGTCCAGTCTGAGTGAGCACTCTAGTGAACCCTGAGGAAGGGTTGTGTTAGAGCTAACCTTAGTAAGAGCCATAGAGAAGTAGACCTTAGAAAGATCAGTACTGAAGAAGTTGTATAAACTGCGACAGACTTTGGTAAAGAGAAGCAGAGGTTTATATAAGGGTGTAGAGAAGCGTCTGGCGAACTTTAGGAGAAGGAAGTAAGCCTCGCTGAAGGTGGTTGACCTCAGCATGCCAGTAGGCCTAGTTGAGGGATATATGGCGAGCTAAGGACAGCGGGGCCCTGGTGACGATACTTGACTCTCATAAACGCCGGAGACCTTGATAAAAATATCTTCTTAAATATAAAATGTATTACCGAGGTGTGTGGACCTGGGTTGATGACTGTTGTTCTCTGATAAAGGGCTGCCTCATCACTAAGATAAACAAAGTGATTATACAGGCGGGAGAAAGTATCCACAAGAACAAAATATAAGAACAATATAAACTTTAGTGGTAGATGACCGTACTAAGTAAAGTGGGTGGTGGCGTTAACAACAAGGGGGTTAGTTCATAGTGTTGGGTCGCATAATGGTAAACCGAACTAAAGTGAAAAGTTAGTGTTTGCATAAGGTCTTCTTTCATCAGCTGGTGAAATGTTAATAACATTCTCGGTCACCAAAACGTCCCCCCTTAAATACAAAAACTTATGATCTGGCCTTGATGGTGGGGGAAGGAAAGGTCTGGCCATGATAGTGGGGAGAGGAATGGTCTGACCATAGTGGGGGGAGAGGGTCTGACCATGATAGTGGGGAGAGGAATGGACCATAGTGGGGGAGAGGGGTCTGACCATGATAGTGGGGAGAATGGACCATAGTGGGGGAGAGGTAGGTCACTGACCATAGTGGTGGGAGAGGTAGGTCTGATGATAGGGGGAGGAATGGTCTGACCATAGTGGTGGGGAGAGGGTATGATGGGTGGTAGAGTCTGGCCATGATAGTGGGGGGAGAGGAGCTGGCCATGATAGTGGGGAGAGGAATGGTCTGACCATAGTGGTGGGGAGAGGGTAGGTCTGGCCATGATAGTGGGGAGAGGAATGGTCTGACCATAATGGTGGGGAGAGGGTAGGTCTGGCCATGATAGTGGGGAGAGGAATGGTCTGACCATAGTGGTGGGGAGAGAGTAGGTCTGGCCATGATAGTGGGGAGAGGAATGGTCTGACCATAATGGTGGGGAGAGGGTAGGTCTGGGCATGATAGTGGGGAGAGGAATGGTCTGACCATAGTGGTGGGGAGAGGGTAGGTCTGGCCATGATAGTGGGGAGAGGAATGGTCTGTCCATGATGGTGAGGGGAGGGAAGATCTGGCCATGTACAGCGGCCAAACTGTGCCCTTGTTATATAAAGACAGAAAACAGAAGTACATTATTACACCGACAGCTTGTAATTTGACGTTATAGTTCCGCCAACAACTAAGGTCTTTAAGTGCGTAAGAAGGTTGGTAAATTACACTGTAGTTTAATTATTTCTGAAGAAACGAATAATATATGAACATCAGCAAAAGACACTGAGAAATTAGTTTTATATTTCTGATTTCAATGTTGGCTTTTCCCGAACACAAAATAACGAAAACCATTGACATATTCACCTGTTTACTTAGTACTACACATCCTTATTGTGTTAGTCAGCCATTATCATATCATATGCTACCTCACGGCCGACACCACAGTGCGCATCAGACGTCCCGCCAGGATTGAAACAAAAGAATTTCTAATAAAGTGTTTCAGCTTATTTTACAATCTTATACTAAATAAATTTCTTAACTACGAATTGTTTTATTTGTACTTTGCACTTTTTGTGGACAGAAAGTGCTTGTAAGACTTCGATAATCGCTGTACGACACTTTTATGAACACAATTACGTGGTTGTTCCTTAGAAGGCGAACGAACGCCAGACGACGGGCAATAGCAGTGGATCCCCACCAGTGGAGCTTCATAGACGCTCTAGTGGAGCTTCACAGACGCAGAACTGGAGCTTCACAGACGTACCAGTGGAGCTTCACAGACGCAGAACTGGAGCTTGACAGACGTACCAGTGGAGCTTCACAGACACAGAACTGGAGCTTGACAGACGTACCAGTGGAGCTTCACAGACGTACTAGTAGAGCTTCACAGACGCACTAGTGGAGCTTCACAGACGCACTACTGGAGCTTGACAGACGTACCAGTGGAGCTTCACAGACACAGAACTGGAGCTTGACAGACGTACTAGTGGAGCTTCACAGACGTACTAGTGGAGCTTCACAGACGTACTAGTGGAGCTTCACAGACGCACTAGTGGAGCTTCACAAAGGCATTAGTGGATCCCTTCTACAAACGCACTTGTGGAGTTCCTACACGAACACATTAATGGATCTTCTCCACGAACGCACCACTGGATATCCACCAACGTTCTCACTGTCATGTACACAACAACAGCAAGCTAGAAGCACAAAAAAGCGCAGAAGGTGTCAACAACAGTGGTCATCATTATCCATTCGTTCATTTGAGCTTTTGTGGAGCTTAACATGACGTACAGGCGTGCACGTCATGAGAGTCCCGTCAGAATTTCAAATAATTTGCATCTATATATATATAAAAAAGCTACAAAAACATTCGGTCTCCTCTCCAGTGCTCTGTTGTTGTGGTTAAGATTATCTAGTCCAACGGAAGAACACCCTAGCCTGTGTTGCTAGTCCGGGTATAATCCGGGTATGGGGCTGGATGAAGTAATATTGTGTTAGCATACAGATAAGTACATGATTGGAAAAATGTGAGGCTGCAAATTTTAAGGGATTCTTGTGTTCAAAGCTGCTAAGTGTGTTGCGAATAGAATCTTTTTTTTTTTTTTTTGAATTACCTGGAATTTTGAGACTACCACCAGTGTCAGACCACCGAGTCTCTTGATCACGTCCTTTAAGGGAGTGTCAGAGGTTCACAGTGTTATTGACAATAGGCTCACATGATTATTCAGATAGGCTTACATTATATTCTATAGACTCGTTCACATGGACCTACAGGTATATTCACATAGATGTAAAAGGATTATGCACATAGGTATACATGTACACTCAGTCCCATGACATATTCACAATAGCGCCCGCAAATTTACGACTACAAGACCTCACATATAACCCTTGCCCAGGTGCATAATCATTCAAGTAGGCCTAAAGAAATATCCAAGTAAGTCTGGGGAAGAAACAGAAGTAAAGGAGGCCAATATAATCAGATAAAAATATTTTCGAATTTCGTAATCCACGAAAAGAAATGAAATAAAATAAAACACCGGGGCACCTGGGTACGTACAGTATAGCACGTGGCCTTCAATTTTCCAGTAAGCCCTTGCAACGGACTGTTCATTCTTGGTGAAAGCAGAAGAGCAAAGAAAGTTGGGCGTGTGCATTCCAGTCTCCAGACCAATACACCACGTCTTGATCTGATGATAACTGTTAGCTACTGGTAGTGGGCCTTAAGTAGAATAGCCATACACTTATTTCAGACATATCGTCCAGCGCACCTGGTTAAACTCAGACATGCTAATTAGGGTACCTGGCGTAGTTTACACATGCTACTTAGATCACCAGAGTTAGCGTAAATATGCTAATTAGGTTACCTGGTGCAGCCCAGACATATTGTCAAGAATACCTGACGTACAATGTCTTTACGAGCTATAATGGACAAAGTACTTATCTGACTTGTGATGGTAACTATGGTATTTTTCTCCACGCGGCAAAGTATCAAAAACTAGAAATAGTTCAAACAATTTAACATGTGTAAGTGTTGGAGATATTTGTGATTAGTTCTACGTTGTAAAAAATATGATGACATTTATTGGACTAATGAAATGGTCACCAAGATGTTGTCCTCATCTTGTTAATGAATCGATGAGTTTGAGATCACAAGTGTTGGTGAACGCTACGGTATTCTTAGTGGAATATGGAGACTCAGGGTTGATTTTACTCTGGTATTACTAAAATTTCCTAAAGACATGTACATAGAACTCCGTACAAGGTAATACTGCTCAAATATTTTTTTTTCTAATGTATGGAGATTTTAACCAGCCGTGTAACTAAATATCTACACAAAAAAATCACGGCGTTTTAAATTTTAGTTTTGCCTCTAGAGAGAACAGCGCACAACACTTCCGCCAGGCCGCTAGTTGACTGAGTAGTGGTGTGTAATAACTCTTACTTCGTAAACATAAGAGTGAGATACTTTAGTTATAAATTGCATTGATATTAAAAGGATTTTTGTTCAGTATTTACAAGGGAACAATAACAACGTTTACAAATTGTGTTTGGACTGGACACTGGAATACGAGCCTAATTTAAATCTACTCTCCATCACAGATCTTTATTGGAAAGAACGGTTTAGTAGTGGATACCTAGCATAGGCTTAGGAGCAGCCGCAGCGGTCTACTACCATGTCTTGGATGGTATCAAATTTGATTTTATGGTCATGGTCGTAGTAGAGCATCTTCATGGGCGACAGCTTCCTGGCGCCGCAACAAGGGCCGTGATGGGCGTTGCTGCTGTTCAACTTCTGGACGAGCGAGGTGTGGGCGTACTTGTGGGCGTACAGGAAGGGGCATTCACCGTTACAGAAGTTGGCTTCGTATGTCTTGGGGGCGACGATGAAGTCCCAACCTAACTCGATAAAGTTGACGACGAGTTGATAGCGACAACAGCGCGACTCCTTCTTGTTGTTGGTGCAGAAGAAGTTGTTGCCACTGTTACGTCGAGACCGACTCTTCCTCGTCTCCTCCGTGTGGATCTCCAGTAGCGGCGCCTACGGGAGGAAGGATGGTTAGCAAGCGTTCATATATATCAGCTTCACTCACTCTTTATTAAGTACCTGACTCATCCACTTATCAGGACCTGTGACTTGTAGTTCCCAAAAGTGTCAACAGACGCCAATATTGTCCAGCTAAGGGAAAGGGAAATTTGAAACTATGAAACCTGACACAAGAGATGGAATTTATTACGGCTTCAGTGAAATGGAGTTAAGATATCAGTCTGCAGCACACGTGGTCATGATAACTAGCGTAACACGTCAACAGGACCTACAGAAAAAAGTTACCTCTAGCCGCAATATGCAGATGGACCCTAAAACAGTATTAGTAAGACGATATTCTCGAATTTTTCATACGAATCTTTCTCAACAATAACCCGCAGACGAAGTATCAAACCCGTTAAGTCCTGCGCACCAACATGTACTGCACACGGCTCCACCGTATAAGGTCAACTATCAAAATAATATGAGTGAAAGTTTACACAACACTTATCCTACACAAGAGCCACTTTAAATAAATGTCTTTGTGGGAAGAAGAGAAAAAAGTCGCGAAATAATTAACAATGCCAAGAGAAACTGTGAACAAATTATAAATAAAATGTGATTGTGTTTACTGGTCTGTTTTTCCCAGGATTAACACCAGGGATTATGTGTCTAACGGAACGAAAACTTGTAAGAATGTCTTCGTCTCATGGAAGAGTTAAAGAGTTGATAAGAGACGCCGTCACCAGGGTTGTTTAGTGTGTGTGTTGTGCTCGAGGTGGCAGAGTGAGGCTGGTGTGAAGACCCATTCTGCTGATCTACCAGCTGGTGTACCTTTTAACATGTTCTTAAGATAATCCCTATACATATATACTAACTATTCAAGGATGTAACTAAACGTTCGTAATACGCACTCGCTATGTCGTAATATTTGCGAGGTAATATACTATGCTTTACTATCTACAGAACACGAGGATAAGGTATGACCAACACTGGGTAGTTATCTGCGACAAATAAGATAGAATATAAGTGTGGTTAGGTTATGTTTCTAATGCTTGTTGTGTTCTAGAGCGTCAGCGTCCCTCTTAAGAGGTCGTTATCTCTTTCAAAGAGTGAGAGGTGAGGCGAGGCGAGGCCCGGTGGATACAACCCTTTCGTCCCCGTTGATGTTCCTGGCTTGGGCTCGGGGCACCCCCAGTCCATTCAACTGTGAAGGAGTGCTTAACTTTTAAACTGGGAGAGTACATAAAGACTCCTGACCACACTACCTCCTTGGTTAACTGGTTACTGTCTCCTTTAAAGGGTCGTTATTTTTTAAAGGGTTTGTAATTCATTTAAAGGGACCTTAACTTTCTTTAACACCTTACCGTCTCTTGACTTAGTTGTTGGACTTGAAGAATAATAACACTTGAGGCTATGTGGATTATTTTAGTGTGAGGGAGACACGTCCTCTTACTCTGGCTGGAACACACACACACACACACACACACACACACACACACACACACACACACACACCACCGTTGCCAGGGTTAACTCTTATGCCTAGAGATAACTTCACCCTAACTAATGGTGTGAAGTGAGTTTTCCGTAATTGTACCGCGGGTCGTGGGCCTCACCTGCCATAAACCACTTAAAATGTAAACGAGTCTTAAGGATAGATTACATCCGAGCCAAACTGGTCCTTGTGAATAGGAATTACCATCAATGTCACCACAATCAGAGAGGGATCCAATGTTTCAACAATAGCGGGCCATCGACAGATTCTGATATTACAACAGCTGGCACCAATACCCCCATAATGGTGAGAGGTTAGAGATATATGTAATGGTGTGTCCGTGTAGGGCGAGTGACCCATTGTAGGATATTGTAAGGTTTATTTGCTGGACTGGTTGCTAGGCCAGGTCATTCACCCTCTCTTCCTGGTGTGTGTGTGTGTGTGTGTGTGTGTGTGTGTGTGTGTGTGTGTACTACTGCTGCTATTAATAAGAATAAGAATAATGATAGGAGTGACTACAACCCCCCAGGGAACATTTCGACAACACCAAAGGATCTCACACACACACACACACACACACACACACACACACAACCACACACACACACACACACTGACAGATGGACATTGTGGGTCAGCAACCTTTACGTCTGAACTTCACCTTGACACACCCGGGTAGGATAATATGCCAAGTGTATCTTAGTTCTTGGCTCAGAGTCAAACATTCTAACATTAATGCGTAAATTATTACCACATAATCTCTCGTAGATCTTCCTGTAGTGCACGAGAAGAGGAATAAATAAATGAAGAAGAAGAAGAAGAAGAAGAAGAAGAAGGAGAAGAAGAAGAAGAATTATTGTTTGGTTACCTGATCGAATTGATTTTTTTTCTCAATTTTTGCCGCAGATTACAGCTAGTTTATCGTGCACCCAGATTATGTTCAAAAGTACCTAGAACAAGTTAAACCAGACAAGAGCTGTAATATAAAGACAAAAGTTGTTCGTTAAACCACCTACAAGTAAAGGTTAAAGTTATGAATTAGTTGTAGGATATTGGTGGGTGAAGAGTTGTGAGTTATGTTCACCTGGGCATTTGGGAAGTAACTCAGCCACTGTCACCTGAGTGTTGTTGCTTTTATTGTTGTTGTTGTTATTGTTTTTGTTGTTGATGGTGGTGGTGGTGGTCGTGGAGGTGGTGGTGATGGTGGTGGTGGTGGTGGTGGTTATTCAAGGTGATAAAGAAGGTTAACTTTTGGTGGCGTTGATTCTACTGTATATGTGTGTGTGTGTGTGTGTGTGTGTATCAGTATTAAGGTACAGTATTACTCATCTCCACCACCTTTATCATACTTTCTGTACGTTACCAGTAATACTGTTGTGTATCTAATCTTGTTCTTAAATATATACATACATTCATACATACATGCATACATACATTATATATACACATATAACCAAAACAAAATAATCTGATAGCTTATTTGATTGAAATCTTACAATTATGGGGAAAACGAGTCAATTCCTAGCTATATTAACTTTGGTTCCAGAAAAACGACTAAACCTGCGTGAACGTTGGTCGAGTGTGTCGTGGTCTTGAGTACTACATAGCTATAGACCATTAAAGTTAGTGAATAATTTACACTTCATCTACAGCTGCGAGGAATGACACCAACAAAGCCCTGTGAACGCGACCTTTCTCCCTTCACTCACTCATGACCAATATTCTTAAAACGATCAATTTACCGATACTTCCTATAGCGTTAATTTGGACACCATTTTCTTCGCGTCTAAAAATACAAAATAAAAAGATATCAGATTTAATGTTGTGAAGTAGGTGGCGTGACGGTGAGTGGAGGATGAAGGTCAATAAGTAGAAGGATTAAGACCACGATACATTCTGTTCTTACACTCATGAGGTATCGGGTGAGTTAGTGCGTCCATTACACCGGTAGGTAACAGGGAGATATTGTGAGGTGTTAGGTTGTAGCCTTATTGTTGTTATTGTAGTTATTGCTATTGTTGTTATCATTGCTATTGTTGTTATTATTGCTGTTATTATTATCATTGTGGTTGTTGTTGTTATTGTTATTGTTTTTATTATTATAGTTGCTCTTGATGTTGTTGTTGTTGTTGTTGTCATTATTTCAGTAAGGAGTTGTTGTTATAACCGGCAATATCATTACCTACCACCACCTCCCTAGTCACATTGTATCACCCTCAACAACCACTACCACTATCACCCTCAACAACCACTACCACTATCACCCTCAACAACCACTACCACTATCACCCTCAACAACCACTACCACTATCACCCTCAACAACCACTACCACTATCACCCTCAACAACCACTACCACTATCACCCCTCAACAACCACTACCACTATCACCCTCAACAACCACTATCACAACCACTACCACTATCACCCTCAACAACCACTACCACTATCACCCTCAACAACCACTACCACTATCACCCTCAACAACCACTACCACTCAACAACCACTACCACTATCACCCTCAACAACCACTACCACTATCACTCAACAACCACTACCACTCAACAACCACTACACCCTCAACAACCACTACCTCAACAACCACTATATCACCTCAACAACCACTACCACTATCAAACAACCACTACCACCCTCAACAACCACTACCACCCTCAACAACCACTACCACTATCACCCTCAACAACCACTACCACTATCACCCTCAACTACCATTTCCTCAGACGGTTTAAGCCAGGAATCCACCCACACCCTCACACCACATTCCTACCATGTTGTGTAAAGCTGGTGGTAGTGGTAGGGAGGAGAGGGGGACGTGGAGGGGTTAAGGTGGTAGGGAGAAGGGAGAGAGGGAAGAGAATGGGGGGGCGGGGGGGGGTGGTTAAGGGAGAAGAATGCTGAAATAAGTCTACGGGGTTGACGTGAACTGCTTCGAGAGAGGTTTAAGTTAGGAGGTTTTAAAGTGTGAGGGTGAGGTTAAGGGGTATGATAAGTCTCTCTCTCTCTCTCTCTCTCTCTCTCTCTCTCTCTCTCTCTCCATGTATCTAGTTTCCCTCCGACAGGTAGTCAAGGTAAGGCAACAACAGCATACTTAGGTACTCACGTTAGAAGGCATCTCATTGGGGTCGGTGACGGCCACTTGTCTACCCTGTGAGTCGTAGGCAGTCACCACCAGCCCCAGGTTGTCGTTGGGTTTATTGAGCCACTCTTGTAGTAACTTGTACACTTCGATCTTCACCCAGTTACCTTTCCGAGCGTCGAAGGATTCAGATACCGTCGTCACCTCCTGTAGATACGACTTAGCTTTAGGTTTGTGGTTAGTTACATATGTATATACGTGTATCAATGGCCTATAAACAATAGCCAACGATGTACAGTTTACCACAAGGTCAGCCAGCTGGTGTAGTGTGTGTGTGTGTGTGATGCGGCCACCAGTACAGTCAGATAATGCTCTTACCCGTGATGTAATGAACTCTTTCTTGAGTGAAGGAAAAGTCTTGTACAAGGTAGTTAACATCCTGTGTGAAGCCAATTGTGAACTAGAGTGTTTCAGTTAAGTCATAGGCCTATTTATATGTTGTGGTGTACAGTACAGTATGTGGTATATGAGGTGTTATATTACAGGTATATTACTGTTGATGATAAAACTAAAGAGCTCAACACTTGTAGATTACTGCAACTTGTCAACACAACACGTAATCCTTCATGACTTATAGGTGACCTTTGGCCCCTGTAGAATGGTCTTCAACAAGGATTATTTAGTTTGTCTTAGCCATCTTACAGAGGTTAAAGCCCAGTGGTCCTACTCGGTGGTTTTAGGTTATTTATCTAAAATTCAATCCATCTTATTTGTTTCAACTCTAACAAGGACGTAGCTTTGTAATTTTAGTTGTTGTATTTGTGACCGGCATGTGGTATGCTATCTGTGGTTGAAATAATGATAAAATAACGGACCACGAACGTTCTATAGGAGACAGTTTATGGAATTTTAAACCTTTGAAATAATTAACACTGATAAAGGTCATTGCTATAGAAGTCACGATTAGGGGTCCATAGCAAGGTATATAGAGGGTATCCCAGAAAAATGTCCCCGCCTCCCTCCTTCCCTCCCTGCTCCCTGAGACACTGTGAGTTGGAGGGAGGCAGGCAGGCAGGGAGGGAGGCAGGGAGCAGGCAGGCAGGAGGGAGGGAGGCAGGCAGGCAGGGAGGGAGGCAGGGAGCAGGCAGGGAGGGAGGCAGGGAGCCCACAGGGAGGGAAGGAGGCAAGGAGGGAGGGAGGCAGGGAGCAGGGAGGGAGGGAGGTAGGGACATTTTTTGTGCCATCATCCATCTTAATTAATCTAAGTGTGAAGGAAAAGTCACTTAAAATTAGGTGTTTGCTCTGTTTAACCTTCGATCCGATAAAACAGTTAAACAAGGCAAATAAAAAAACTGGACTGACGCACAACTCCACCAACTTTGAAATTGATTGGTCAAGAATTGAAAGAGTGGTGTTTAGTTATTGTTTATAGAAAGAAAGAGAGGGAGAGAGAGAGAGAGAGAGAGAGAGAGAGAGTTAATCAACATAACGTTTCTCTCCTCCATGTTATATATACCCATGATAAACAAGAGGATTGCAAGATGTAAAGTCACCCCCTCACGCCACATGACCTTGAAAAGTAGGTCAAGAACACGTGCCTAACACTCGTACAAAAGATTGATTGGACGAAAGCATAAGATGAATGTGAAGGAGCCACGTCAATAGCCTCCCTAAGGTGACTTATTTAAAAGCAGAAACTGTCGGATAACAGGACGGGTGAACAAAGAGACGAGACACGAAGAACGATAGTATTCGTATGTCAAGGTTTGTTGGTTATATAGTATGGGAAAGTGTGACTGATATCCAAAAACATTTTCAAGTACGGATCTTTGTTACTACTACTACTACTAATACACCTTTGCCGCCATTTACTATTACTACTACTACTACCACCACCACCACCACTACTACTATTTACTACGTGGCCTCCATCCTCCCCCAATAGCCACACCTTCGCCGCAGTTTTATTACCTTAAAATTAAATATGCTAATACATAAGTAGCTATCCTAGTTGTGCTGAGTTAGTTGAGCCGCAGATTTATGCGGCATTCAGTGACTGTTGCCTCATAGTCAATATCTGCAACTGTTGTCGGCTTTGGGGCCGATGCTCTCGTTCCCCTGAGGCAGAGCAAAGCAGACCTAAGGAGAGAGAAGGACAGTCGACATCTCTTCCAGGCTGTAACATAACTTCTGGGCTGCTGCTTCTGTTCGAATAGTACCTCCGCGAGTATGGCGTAGAAGCATCTTGCACTTGGTCCCATCCCACCAGAGGTTGTGAACACCAGAGGAGTGAAGCTGTCTTGATCAACGTTCTGAATTCTCTCCCCATATGCCCTTATCTTGCCGTTCTCGTTCCTCCTGTGTGCAGCATCGAGAGCTAAGTTACGGTGACATGCGGCCATGGGATAAAAATTCCTGATGTCGAAGAAGGCTCGCTGTCCCCGCGTCCAGAATCCTCGAGCACTGACGTCAACATGGGCTTCGGTGGATGTATTTGAAGACCTATGTTGGAAATTCTCACCGTCCACACACGCATTGGGAGGGCAAACCTTCTACTGGCCTACTGTACCTTAGAGCAATGGCATCTGTAAATTCTTGTTTATTGAGACTGAAACCATTTGCCCTTATCAGTAACGTAGTTAACCAGTTCGAGGTGCCCACCTCCTGCGCTATAGCTACTTTTTTCTCAAATTCTCTGGTACTTGCAGCATCAGTTGCTGTAACTTATCACTTTGGCCGTGTTGTCGTTCTGTCGTAATGGACTGTCCAATCTTGTTTACTTCACTGGTATCCACCACGCCTGTTGCGTTCTGAGCTATTATGTGGTCAGTGAGGGCTGCTTTGAGCTAAAGTGAGTTTTGATGTTCGGTGGCAGCAATCTCCTCTGGATTGGACAATCCCATTCCTCCCAATCTCGGTGGTAGTGTAAGGAGTGATCTTTCTTCTGGGGCTAAGTGAAGATGTTTCACTAATTTGGGAATGAGATTGATGTTGATAGCTTCTTCCAGAGGGTGGAGGAGGGGTCCGATATCAGGGATAGTGCGCATCAGGTAGTTCCAGCAATGCTTGACTCCATGGGTGAATGCAGCAAAAGCCGCATGTGGCTCTGTGTTAGCAATATCAGACAGAGCTTGGATTTCCCTAACCCACTCATTCACCTTTCCCGTTACGTACTCGGTCTTAAGTCCGTCGTGCCGATCACTGCACCGAGGCGTCTTTGGCCATCCTTTGTTATTTTGGCCTCACTTCCACCGAACACCTCCATTGCCCGTTCATGATGTTCTGGCTTCACAATGAGGAAGGACTTGCTGGCGTTTGGGTGGTACCCTGTTTGTGGACCTCGTGATGTTATCAGGTCCCACCACTTTTTGATGTCCTCCACTTTTCCTGCTCCTTTAAGGTCGTCTGTATACGCCACTTGCTTGATCTTGGTTGTTTCAAATTTTATTGTGTGTTGGAGTACTGATAGGCCTATTGCGTACATTGCCATTGCAACAGGGTCCCCCTGCGTTGTTCCCTCAGTTGACTGTATTATGGTATCACTTCTTAGAGCCTTGGTGTTTACTATATAAAGGTCTGATGGATTCCTATAGGTGTTTTCAACATACATTGCAAGGCTTGGACACTTGATCTTGATGTTGTGCAGTGCGGCCTTGCGGTTAAATATGTTGAATGCGTTTCAAGCGTCCACCAGGAGAACGGCCTCACTACTACTATTACTACTACTACTACCACCACTACTGCTTTTTTTAATGGCCTCCAGCTTCCCCCAATAGCCACACCTTCGCCGCAATTTCATTACCTTAACTACTACTACTATTACTACTTCTTCTACTGCTATCAATAATAATAATAACAATAATAATAATAATAATAATAATAATAATAATAATAATAATAATAATAATAATAATAATAATAATAATAATAATAATAATAATAGTAATAATAATAAACACAAAACACAATAAAGATATCAAAGAAAGGCGAAAAAACACACCATTCAATTCACATCTTGCAAACATAATCGTCAGTGTGGTAAGGCAGGAGGGAGGGAGAGGTGAGGTAAGAGAATGGAGAAGTGAGGGAAAATGGAGGGAGTGGGGGAGAGGTAAGGGAAGAGAGGGAAGGAGGGGTGAGGCAAGAAGGAGAGAGAAGTGAGGGAGAGATGGGTAGGTGTAGGGGATGAGAGGAGAGACACACAAATGTTATATCCGCGTCACACCCACGTCACAGCCTCGCGTCACACCCACGTCACAACCATGCGTCACACCCACGTCACAGCCTTGCATCACACCCACGTCACAGCCTTGCATCACGTATACTTCAATCTAACATTATGGTGAGAAAATACCATGTTTTATATCATTATAGTGAATATAAGCTACCATTAAGCTTTATACTGACCCCCTCCTCCCAGTATAGAATGAACCAACGTACTTCAAGAGTCAGAGGTATATAAAGTATTCACATTACTACCATCAAACTCAACAGGGGGTTAATATAGGCGTTAAAACTCGTAATATTAGCAACAGTTGACTTAGTTCGTGGAATCAGTTAACCGAGCCTCTTGCATTCCGAGGTCCGACAATTCGTCAACAAGTATACGTGGTCGGTTGGCTTGATTCCTTGGTAAGCTAAGTCTCACTACTTCGGTGTATTGAGCTGTGGCCTGAGGAGGGTGGGTGGCCCATTACTGTCGGAGAAACCCTCACCCATACACTTCTCAGACCTGGTGTTGTCTTCCAGCAAGCAGCCGCCTCTCTCCTGGCATTAAATCAACATGTAACTAGATTATCGGCATGTCTTCAAACTGCTGTAAAGACACGTAGTACTTGGAGCCATCCGACTACTCCTCCACCCTCCTGTCTCACGAAGTCTAAGCTGGTTGAAGAATTTGATGATGATTTCTCTGGATGGCGTCCAACAAGGACGTCTTTCCCCTGACCCATCCGTCATGCAGTGAGTGGAGGCTCTGTCGACGGCGACACAGGCTTCAGCCTCATCATCAACATCTTCCCAAAAATATGAATGGCATGCGGAGGATGGATAGGAAAATAGGTAATAATGAAGCCCTTGGAGCCGTCTACCTTCACAGAGTAGCTTACCTCACCAAGGTGAAGGTACCACCCCCCGGGGAGCTCCCTCCTGCCACACTTGTAACACCACCTATACACTTTATATTCACAAAACCTTTTACAAGTTAA